TTGTCGTTCTTCTCTCCATCACCCTCCTCCTCCGTCACCCTTCTCCCTACCGCCCTTCTCTGTGCGTCCATCTCCATCCAGATTACAGCAGCACTAATCATCGACTCAGGATTTAGCCCGCGTAATCGAATTTTACGACGAATCACTTACCGTATTTTGCGATTCCAGAGCATGTAAGTGTTTCGATTGGACTGCTAGTATTACTTGACGTTTGATGATATCCAAGAGGTGGAAATCGATAGCGTCGATGTCCTTTTTAAGCGTGTGAGTACGCCCGCAGTCCATGGACCGTTCCAGATGAAATATGTAAGCCTCAAAGTATCACGCAGCCTGTAACGCTGATTTCCTTCAAATTATTCGACATGAGTTGTATTACATAATCAAAGGTGCAGCGGCTACTCCCGCACTGTAAAAGTCACCAAATTCAACCGTACGGCTCAGAACAGTACGGCCCACAAGACCCACAATTATTCATACTGGCAGGGAACACTCAAAGCCCCTCGACTTAGATCATCTGATAACTGGAAGACAATACGCCTTCATCCTTTTACCCGGGGGTCGAAAGTGATCTTGGACAATGGAACCTTGATGAAGGACCTGCGGTGAACGCGACAGGACATCTGGTGTTTGAAACGGCCAATTCCTTGCTTCAACACTGGGCAAATACCCGTCATCGTATTGGTATGTTTGAAACTTCAATCAGATGGGTTGCGACTCATCATTTCTACGACACCGCTCTTGTTCCCTCCTTAGTGCCACGCCGTGTGGGCTTGGACCGGTGGGATCACCGAGTGGCAGGAATATCACCGGAGGATTTAGAGCGCGTCCAAGACAGGCTAGCTCAAGCGTTAGCACGACCACCCGCGACCACTGGCGGCATTGACTGGAAAACGGTCTTGCGCGTGGTGGTCGATCGATATGCCAGCCGCCTGGAGTTTATACAGCGCCTTTTGAACCTGACGTTGGACGATGGGTCGATCTTTGACCATGCACAACAAATTCAGAGACAGTTGCGCACCGTGCTTTTGCCCTACACCGTATTTACAGCTCTGCCTCCCAATACCTCCGTCACCGCCAACGCGACAAATTCTTGGGCCGCGCCAGTTTTTCGGGAATGTGCTACATCTCACGCGGCCTCCATAGCGTCTCGTGGCACAACATTAACGCCTTCCGAACGTTTGCTCCTGCAGGCGGTGCGGGAAACTACGCATGAGATATGCCGCGTCGTCACAAAGATGTGAGCTTCCGGAATGAATTTTGGAGTCGACGCCTTTTATCCTCCGGAACGACGCCCTGAAGTCGATCACATACATACTCTCACGGGCAAATGGAAGGAGGATGTGACGCATTTAATCTCCTGGTTGGACTGGAGCGTGTGGGTGAAGTGCCGACCGGCATGTGGTTTCGAGGTAACAAAAAAATCAAGTTACTTGTTTGCGAAATGACTGACCTTGTCGTATAGGAGATGTGCTATTTGCCTACTTGGCCCTTTGGGTTCCCATCAGCCAGCGCACCACTTCAAGCTCAATGGGACAGTGGTTCATTATGGCCAGGCCCAAACAAAGGGGAATGGAAGAGACCACAGTCCAAGTGCATCAGACGACGGGAGCCATATAGTTTTTAGGATACATGCATTATTGCTGACATATACACGCTTTTTGTATATAGTTTTTGCAAAATTATCGCAGGGGAGTCTATAAGCGCGCGTGACGTATGTACTTTGAAGAAGGTGGTTCGACTGTTTCGACATGTTGGCTCTTTGTTATCTGCCGAATCCGCCGCACTTTGGGCCGTACCTTTTTGCGCCGTACGGTTGGTCTTTGGGACGTTCTCCCCGCGCTGACCTTAGAACTTTAGCAACGTTGAGTTTGAATCCTTGCGCCGTGCTAAAGTATAGGCACCGTTGTTCATATATATTGAAATGTAATGACTGTAATATATTTCTGTTAGGCCAGTTTAAGGAGACTAGTACGTGGGCACGAAGCATCCTTTACTATCTATGATTGTGCCGTGTCACGAATTTTGTATGGATTCCCTCATTGTAGTCTACATTCTTTTGCATCCATAGCTATGTACCAACGACTCAATTCGTTGCAGTGTAGATAGCCTTAAATAGCTTGACAATCCAAAGCATTCATTATGGAGAATGAGACTATTCAAAGAGAATGAGATTACTTAACAAGCAGAACATAACTAAGCTGATAGCGCAATATCTCAACCTCCCTGCAAACTCGTATGCCTATCTAGACTTGATGACCGGTGTTAACGCCACTTTCCACGATAAACCCTTCAATAGCCTTGTAGCTCAACACACTAATAACCGAAAACGAGAATACCCGACGAGGTTAACATAAACACACTTCTATCCCTGCCCGGGCACGATGGTGAAAAGTCGCGATCTTGTCATGAATTCTTCAATGTAATCTACATTTACAGGCATACATGGTCATGTATCGACAACTCAATTTTTTTGCTGTATAAATAGTTATATTTAGCAGGCGCAGAATTATATTCCTCTATAATTCACACGGCCACAATATCGAGGACTCATGAATTCACTGATGATCCACTGGCAGTGTTGTAGGTGCAGCTTGGATTGCTCCTGAGCCAACGAGGCAGAGGAAGAGGCAGATAAGTAACAAGCGCATCAGTGGACGGGTGTATCGTATGCATCCTGTTCATTTTTTATATTTACTAGCGGGCGTCAATTCAAAGGAACACGATGTTGATTAGGCCTAGCGCTCTTGTCTGATGTTTGCAACATGGCTTAGGCTAAGCGGATGTAAAGTGAAGCTTTGAAGATCCGTGCAAGTACATAAGCCTTGTTGTACTTGAATTCATGAAATTTTATTCATCTCCGAATGTCGATCGGCTGCAAACCGAACTGCATTTGACGCCTTTGGTTTGCAGCAGCAGTCCTGACTAGCAATGACAGCGTCCCGCCGGGGCCCTTCTGAGTTTTCATTTCAAGCTGGCGGCCATGTTGAGTTGTAGTGCTTGCCCTGCCATACTGAACGTTACTAATGTCCAACTCTCAATTCGATGTCAAGTACCGACACTGGCGTGTGTCCACCGTCCCCCATCAGTAAACCGGTGAGTTCTTGCTGGGGATTATGCTGATTATGGTGCTTTTACATGGTCATATATTGCTTTATATCACTTTATATTACAATGTGACGAAAACCTTTCCTATATATTACGATATATAACGATATATGACGATATCTTCTTCTCACAGGTTCTCTGATGGCCCAGCTTGCACTATTGCACCATATCATTACGCAAAGCCTGGTAATGACTTTCAGTCACATCAGTGCATGCCTCCAACTCAGGAACCTATTACGTTTGATTATTCCAATCGCATCATGCTTCTAGCTGCGGTGAGCCTTTACATACCCTGTACCAAGAGTACAGCCAGACTCTCTTAGTGTAGTGAGGCTTTCAAAGTGCATTCCACTCGAAGCAGTTCGTGTCATAACTCGCATGTAATGCAGTCGCAGTGCAACTGACTTGTCGACTTCCTAGATCAAGTCAGACTGGGATCTTATAGGTCGACTAGATCATCCTCGGTTGCTTCGAGACTGCGGCGCATTCGTTGCACACCTGCAAGGGGATTTGCAAACGATATCTCTCGCACAGTGAAGGTATGCATGGATGGCTATCTCGAATGTCCGATGAAATACTGTGCTGATTGTGATTTTTCAAGGGTTGGGCGCTCAGACAACGAGAGCCGGCCCAGCCATGCTGGTGCCACTCTTACTAGATGTCCACTAGAGTTCGCGCATTTTTGGGAAAACATCTATAACTCTACAACACATCCACATAAAAATATAAATTTTTGACGGATGGATAGCCTGACATTGAAAGTACAAGGCCTGCTAGTTTTTTCTTTTAAAATCGACGTGTTGAGTCCAGCGGAGACTTACCGCGCAAAAAAGTGCGGGTTTCCCTAGAGTTCGCGCATTTTGTCACACCATGTCACACGTCTGCCGCGGTGCCGTTTCACATTCCGCACCGTTCGAAAGTCGACTGCAGCGTATTTCGGCACAGCGGAGTTTAGATGTGTGTAGTCTCATTGTAACGCTTTGGATAGATTGTCACGTCTGGGCTGTATTTCATTCACAGCAGATGATTCTGACAAGCATGTAGCCCCGGAGAAATTTATTTTAGCATTCTATAATCATGTATAGTCATCATATCGCATCCCAGATTTTTCCGTGGTGATCTGACCTTCAGAGGGAGTCATCTATGCACAAAATGAGCCTCGAACACCTATAACTCGACCATGGCACGAGATCCACTTCATTTCTTGCCAAAAAAATTACATGGTCATGTGTACTATGTTGGGAGGAACCTATATACAACATACATAAGGATTCCGTGCAGAATTGCGTGTGCTAGAGCCAATGCGCGAACTCTAGGGACGCGCGAACTCGTGGGACTATCTAGTACTGCACGGCATCCCATTCTTGTACTAGCTTGCCTTGGCAACCGAGTAGGGCCATCAGCATGCCCCATCACATGCTTGTATATAATTTCGCTACATTAAACTCGTCTCATCTTCAAACCAATTGAGCGCCTGAAACGGCCTGATGGGGTACATCTCACACAAGGGCACTGGAGTTCCTGTAAAACGTAATGTCCTGCATAGGGCGATCTCGAGTTCGATAAGACAAAAACTTTTTTTAACAAAAAGGTTGGGCGAGCGGTTATCACGGTAAAATTGGAACCAGACAACTGACACCCTTTGAGACATCCAGGGTATTCTACCTAATGAACCGCACCTTGTCAGTGTATTACTCATTGGTACCTCGAGTCGATCACCACAACAGCATCGAAGGCTTGCTGGCGCTTCAAGAACAGGCCCTAACTAAACGTGTACATGCACGTATGAGCGTCTGTTATAATAGCGTCTACGATAAACACCCCTCGCAATCCAAGGGCAGTTGTCAGTGATGGCCCGAGCCTAACACATGTTCAGCTGCAAGATTTCTACCTTCTCTTCAGCCAAATGTTGTCAAACTGGGTCGTTGGTTCAGCGAGCGGAATTTTCAGCTGATAAACAACTCTTCTTTCTTAGCAGTCCCAAACCGCTCATTGGCATGGTGATAGTCTTGCAACTCTTGTGTGCATTTCATGCATATATCAATGACTAACCGTTACAGTAACTGTCTATGCTTTCTTCGGTATGTAGATTTCCCGGTCCTTGTGATTCATCGTGTTGAAGACAGTTCAAGAGTTCTCCCTGAATGAGGTGGAAGTCGGCAGATAAGCCATAACAACGCGTGCAAGTACAACATCAAAATATTTGCGCTATGTACTTAGTTGAATAATCAGCTCCTCGGCGATGTCTGAGTCTGTGCCGCTCCAGCGATGTGTGCAGGATATTCCAGTGGGGACCATAAGCCAGGGCATGCAAGTTATGGCGACAGTACTCATGCGCCATAGCACCTGTTCCTGGTATGTGGGAAGCAAAAAATCAAGCAATACAATGGAGCAAGCTGAAGGAGCGTTAGGTCCTAACCTTCCATATCAATGCTGCCATCAAAGTATTTCGTGGGCGATACTGAATGCCAGTTGTGGTGGCTATCCTGAAGACGCGCCATTGGGAGATGGGTCACCGGTAAGCTTATGGTGTTGCGCGAGGAAATAGAAACCGAGATAGGCGGACGACGTGCAAGGAAGAGGCCACACAGATATGATGAGCTCCTCGTGTGCCCACACGGATATGTACCCTGTATCAACTTGTAAAAATCAAATCAATTCAAAACACCAACTATGCACTCCCATTATCCGCATATCCGACCCCCCAGCTCAAAAAAGAATAAGTCATGTACTCACCATCTTGTCCCTCTCGCTCACTCACATCCTCCAGATTCCAGCCTGCACTCCATCTATGCCGTCGACGACGAGGATCGAAAACCTGTCAGCGCAAGTCAATTGTATTTAAAGGTAACACCAGGATGCCCTTACCTGGATATCATTGGTTGTCGAGAAATGGTCAAGATTGTTGAAGACAATGACCTTGTGACATTGGTTATCGTAGGTGACGATGTCAAGATTCAAAGGTCTGAAGGCGGGTTCAAAGCGAGCTGCGAATTTTCACCAATCGACTTCAAATTGTAGGGAACAGTTTCAATACCTCGACGGTAAACTCACGTTGTCAATGGCTAGTCGTAATGATAGATGCTGGTCCTGCAGTTGCAGGCTTGTTACTGTATACTGCAAAATCAAATACAGTTTGGTTTTGAGCTCACAATACAAAGCGCTAGAGATGATAGAAGCCGGCAGCTGTGAAACTGAGCCGATCTGGTTTGACCAAGTTTGACTGAGCTGACACGTGATAGAAATGAAATGAAAGTGAAGGTGAGCGTGAATGTGTTTGCGGCTACTTGGTCACAGGCTTTGCTGGCCTTCAGGAAGATGAATAGTGGAGACGAACTTCGGTCGTGTGAGTCGCTTAGGAAGAGCGTGTGGAGTGGTAGGATGGACACGGGTATTGAAGAAGAGACTGATGTTGTCTTGAGTTCGGGTTTAGAATATGAATGAAATCTCGGGGTGAGGACGCAAGACCGGTCTCTTCAGCATGCTCACCAACATGATCTCCATCTTCGCATTCACACTCATCCTCCCTAAATGGACCCATGCTTCAAAGCCGTTTCATCTATTCCACATCCGCTTCATCCGAATCTATAAACCCCGCGTGTTCTCTTCATCCTCGATAAGTGGTGTCAGCAGGACTTTAAAAGGCGATTCGAATGAGGAGAAGGGCTTCACAGGTGATGTGGGACGACAGAGGGTTGGGGGCTTTCATAGGATGCACGCATCCTTACTTGGTTAACGACATGTTTATTTCCCTGAATTTGGTCGACAATACACTGCACTCGATGACAATATAGACGACAGATTTCAGTAGGGAGGGTAACTTCTTGTCGCTCGTTCTCAGGGGGGTAGATGTTGTAGATGGTGCGAGAGATAACCATCTGAGCCCTTGTACCTGTGCGGGGGAAGGGTCGTGTGTAGTGGGTGCTGATTCATAGCACTTTTCGATGGCCTTTGAGGTGGCGGTTAGTTGGAAGACGCGTCACGGAGAGATGAATGGCAAGGAGAAAGTTAGGGAACACAACCAACACACCAGGAAGTGACAAAGGGACACATGTATACACACTGTATTGACATGTAATCCAAGGAGCGCACGTTATATGCGATAACTTCCCGTGCTTTCACAAACACGTACCCCGCATTAGCTTGCAAAAGGCTCATTCTACATATCCGACTTCCTAATTCCAGAAGATTCAACAGTATGAGACAGAAGGACATGTACTCACCAGCTTCTCCTCGCCACTGACTCGCATCCCCCAGAATACGACCCCTACATTTTCCTCCTTCACTCCTTCCGCAGCGGCCGTCGATGGTGAGGCCTGCTTCGCCAAAGACGACCAGGATCACAAGCTTGCTAACGTAGATCGATTATATCTAAAGGTGTCAGTCTATGTGAATTTTTATAAGCCACGCACATTCCTTTTCAAAGTCGAAGCATACAAAGTTGATCTCTGTGCAATAGAGGTGCACGCAGCATGTCGGGTCGCATCCAAAGGTAGTTTAACTAACTGTCTCCTCCAAGTCATCGATTGAAAATCCTGCTACCTGCTCATCAGCCACAGCATACCAAATAGTCCAATTTTGTTGCCGTCCATGGAAGTGAGCACTAAACAAGTTGAAATGTGCAAGACTTGAGTAAAATTTACGGTTTGGTTCGATGTTAATCTTAAGGTCATGTGATCGTGTTGGGGTCGAATGACACTGTCCCCAGAGACATTGCCGGATTGGCTGGAGGCTAATATGCGGAACATATTTGTAAAATATTTTACATCTATTGTTCAATGTTAAACCTAAACAAATAAAGCACAGATGTAAAATTTGTGGTTGAAATTGATTCCCTACCAGATTTATCTCCAAATGAAGAATATATAGACCACAATATTTAGAATTTGAAAGGAAGGCTTTGTTTGTGCACCAGATCCATGCTCATATTGAAATTATGACAATAATATTTTGTATATGCAGATCTGGTTTGTATTATTCGAAATTTGTTCGATGACTGACCAATAAGAAATCGCTATACCAAATATGTATAGGGTTCATATTGAAAATTTGTAATTAAAATTGATCAGCCACCATATTCATACTTAAATTCTATATATGACACGTATTGTAGAGCAAAAAGATTTTATTTCAAAGTTTAGATATGTGATGTCATCAGATTTAGGATATTGTCCCCCCAATTTGGCTATATGTCATATCACGAACATATGTAAAATTTGATATCCAATACTACTGCAGTACAGATCCTATCACCAATGCAAAATATTTCTGTGGATATGATACCAATCTGTGCTGCAGACAGATTCCGTCCTGCCTCAGGTGTGTACTACTTACTACTACTATGGGTGTAGATTGAGTGGTAAAACTTGTTATACTGGGTCAGACGCAGCATGACAAGACTTCTAATGGCAATGTCGTCAACGCAGTGTGACAAAAGATAGAACATCTAAAACGCTCACCAAACGACCAATAATAAAGTATCGGAGGCAATGCATTTTCGTCTCCCTGGTACTTTGGTCATCAACGTCAATTTGGTAGTAATAAAGATAATCATCCAATTGATAATCGGTGAGGTTGGTGAAGTCGTTGTTCGTGCGTAAAGGCGGCAATTCGAACTATCAAGAACGTGTCATTAATGTAAACAAGAGACGGTAAACATACCAACGTGCTCCGGGTCTTCAAGTTCATCCTCACGGTCCCATGAGATCGGAATCTGGTCGTACAATTGTAAGTCATTGAAAGGATGGTTCTTGTCATATTTGAACATGAGTGATTGTTATCAAAGTATTGAGATTATCATACCCAGTGCGTACTTTCAACCATTGACCGCTCGGGGTGGCTGGACCTCTGTCGATGCTCACTTGCTTGGGAATCAGAATCGAGCCGTTGCTCTAGACCGTGAATCCTGGAATTATCCATCACCTGAACCAGTGTTTTATTCATCTGGTCGAGCCTTCTATGGATGGGTTCGACGGCATCCAAGATGATATGAGACTCTACATTTCCACCTGTCCCAGCCATGGCTGCGCTGCACAACTTGTGTAGATACAACTGCGCTTTCGCGAGGTCGTCAACAGTGGCCATACGGTAGTCCAGGCACAGTTTTCTCTTGAATGCTAAGAGCGTTATGTATTTAGTAGCTCAGACCACTACTGCGAAACACAACTTACAGGGAGGGCTAAAAAACTCCTTCACCTTCTCAAGGAAGACAATTGCATGTACGATGTCTTGACTGGTTGGTGGATCTGAAGGAGGCAATGGTCGCTTGATGTGAGATAACGACTTTGAGAAGAGTGGCACTTGGATCGACATTGTTACTGAGAGGAGACTTGGTTAGGAGGTTATATACCAAGTGGTGCACCGCATAGGAGCTTTGAAATGGTCCTGCTTATCAAAGCGGACTGTGCATTTTGTACTGATTCGTCTTGCGCATCATGGTAGTGAAAGAACAGAGCCGAGCGCACACCGAATCCCAACTAAACATGCACGTGAATGTAGCATCTATCATAAGCATTCTTCATTGTCCAATAGCAGTCGACAGTGACGACCAGGCCTAACGCATGTCCAATGGCACGATTTAATTCAAATTGTGTCGTTGGTTTAGTTAGCAGCTGATTACGACTCTTCTTTCTTAGCGATCCTGCAGCGGTCATTGGTGTTAGTTTTGTGCATGCTTTGTGCATATCATATAATGACTGACCGTAACCGTCCACGCTTCGTTCGGCATGTAGATTTCCCAGTCCTGGTGACTCACTAGTCAACGACGATTCCTCGAGCTGAGCATATGGGTTGCTATAAAATTATTTCATCGCGCATTCCATTACATCGCACGAGAATTCATATCTTTATTTCCCAACACCAGGATGCCCTTTCCTGGGTACTGCTGGTTGGTTTGGCCAACGCGAGAGCAATACCCTCCCCAGTATTCTGGTGTGTACTGCCATCGAGATGTTAAAACTCTGGCAGCAGTCAGCAGATATACAAAGATTGTTTCGTTCATAGTGGTTGTGAAATAATTTATGTACCAAACTTCATCGCAAGCCCATCAGTTCTAAAATTGAGCTGAAGACTAGAGAAAGGATATCAAGCCGAGCGGGTTTGTCTCTGCAACTGGAACAAAGCCACACAATCAGTAGCAGTATAACTGTTGGGGCACACACGTACTCATCAATGTGTCTGGTCTTGATCAATGTCTTCTTCTGCGTTGTCCGCCAGGAAGGATCTAAACAAATGTGATGAGCTCCTCATGCGCCTATGTATACATACCTGTATCAGCTTATAAAAACTCAGATCAATCCTCAATGCCATCCGAACACTTCCATACCATCTGCATATCCGACGTCCCAACAAAAAGTGCTTACCTTCCATGTGCGTCTTCTCATTCATTAGCATCCTCGCGAACCCGGTTCCTGCATTCTCCTTTAAGCCTTCAGTCCCTCCACAGCCGTAGATTGAAAGACGTGCTTCACCAAAGACGACAAGGAAAACTGCCAGTGCAAACGCGTTGATACCAGAGGCATAAGTTAGCATAGGTACTAGGCAGATCCTCCACGCACTTTGATTTCAATGAATGTGTTCAGAGCACTGATCTCTGAGTAGTAGAGATGAACACTACAACATCGGGTCGCGTCCAAAGTCAAACGTGACTGTCTCATCGTCGATTGAGAGTGCTGCCACCTGTTCGTTCATCAGCTATAGTGTCCAAAACAGTATGATTTCATTGCTGTCCATGTCGGGTTCGTTTATGTGCCTGAAAATTAAAATATTGATGTGTTGAGCAAGACTTTGGTTTGTTCGGTTTGCGTCATGTCACACATCGTGCAGGTCATGTGATCGCGTCATCTCGCGCAAGTCGATTCTCGAAATAATCATGACGATGATCCCATTATTTATTACCAGGCGATGCTACGAGTATGCATTGCATGAATACAACTAGAAAATACAAATACAAGTACCATAACCAAAAACTACAAGTGCGGCACCAAAGCAGTCCATGACACCACCTGGTATACGCCAGGAGGAAGATTGCGTAAAGTGGTGAACATGAGTACCAAGAGAATGCCACGTCCTGTGATGTACACTATGGGAGATATAAAGATCACAGGGCCAATGAAAATTTCGGCTACATGGAGCCGCTTGAATATGTCGAAATCGTCTAAAATGTTTCCAACATATATACTACAAAGCTCAACACAGGGTGTGCAAGTTATAGCGACGGCACTTGTGCGCCAGAGGACCTGTTTGTGGTATGTGGCGAAGGCAAAAAACCAAGCCATACAATGGACGCTGCCGAATATGGTTGCCATGAGCAATCCAGCAGCCACAAGAACTGCCACGTCCGACTTCTCGAGTTCGATACTGCCATCAAATGTTTGAACTCGGAGCTTTCGAAATGTGGAAGTTTGACAGCCCCCGCCCAGTGACAGTTCTAGGATTGGGAAGAGGATTGGGTCCCACATCCTTTTAAGCCCAGTTAATTCTTCTTCTTCAACAACAACACTAAGGCAGACACGATCAACAGCGGTATAATTGTTCAAACTTCAGGTGCATACATACCCAATATAATCCTCTGGCCTTGACTTGGTCGACTTCCAGTACACTGGATGTGGACATTGCACGTCGAGAGGCTTGTCCCACCATACAGCATAAGTGAGGAAATTGAGAACCGCAAAAGTGAGTGTCCCCACTTCGAGCTGGGTGATTTCGAGGTGATAGATGACGCGGGTGATGAGCTGCATGATAAACCAGGCCACTTGAAGGATGATCAACCCTTTCGATATCGCATTGCCTTTGCTCTTGTCGTGGATTTGCTTTGCCGTTAGGGTAGGGACGTCGATAAACCCCTTATCTATCAGTTTGAGAATGTCATCATACTGTAGTGTACGATAGGGTTTCCCGTCCACATAAAGCATGAAACCACCCATGAGTACAAAGAAGCTGTGCGTCTGAGTCCATGTATAATCTAAGGCACGTGAGTCAACGTTGTGGTGAGTATGAATCGGGCCTACCCTCAGATTGCTCTGAAACATAAGCTTTGAACAACTTTTTAAACAGCTTCGCAAGAGCACGAGACCTCCCATATCTTGGGGTGGGCGCTGGAGTACTATAGTATGAACTTCCGAAGGAATAGTGCAGCTACCAGTACAAATGACGAATCACCTTCAGGATCTGCCACAAGAAGCCGGGTGCTATCACGATCTTTGAGTCATGAGGAAACATATTCGGGGTGCGGCAAGATAGAATGTCGAGCTCACCTTCGACATATTGCTCCGTAGTTGCTTCGATGGACCTGTAATCTAAGGTCGTGCATAGTGAGTTGCCTGAAGAACATATAGTTTTGGAAGGCACGGCTCACCTCTAGGCTGCTCCTGCAGCTGAAGAACACCAAAATATCCCGATTCCTTAAACTTTTTGGTAACATGACGAGCACTAATCCACTGGCGCATAGCCCATGTGACGATGAGTTCAGGAATGATTAGTGTCATTATCATGATACCAAGTCATCGCCATAGAATAAGAACGGGGCTGTCCCTCGGACTCGGGATATTGGGGTGAATGGCACTGTAAATGCATGCGAATAGAGTGAGAATGCAGCTCAAGACAATGTTCCACAGGGTTCTGTTTGTGAATGATGGGGCTTCGGTAACGTTACTACGAGTGCTACTAGTAGTAGTAGTATTTGTAGTTGGTGCAGCTTGGATGACTCCAACAAGGTAAAGGAAGATGCAGAAAAGTACTAGTAAGCGCATTATTGGATGTTGCTTTGGGGGCATCATATGCACCTACTCGTTATTTATATTAAGTAGCGGGCATCATCTCAAGGCAGTGGGATAACACAATGAGGCACTGGGGCTTGCCCTTTGCAACATGGTGGATTGAAGTAATGATCGATCGACCAGTGCTTAGCTCCCGCTCGAGTCTAATTATAGTTCAAGCTTAAGGTTCTAACATCGATTCTGATGGATTCTTTATCTAGCTAGGGCCACCAACCTTGCATTCGTCCCCGTGGCACTCGCTCGGGGTAATGAACCACACCGTAGTATTAGTATATCCACTCATTGGCACCCTCAAGTCTATCGCCACAACATTGAAGGCTTGCTGGGGCTTCAGGCCTCAGGAACGGGTTCCAACTGAACGTGTACATGTTCATATGAGCGTCTGTTCTGATTACGTCCACGATAAGCACCATTCGCTATCCGACAGCCTAACGCATGCCCAACAGCAGGATTTAATTTACCTTCACCTCGGCCAACTATCGTCAAACTGGGTCGTCGGTTGATTGAGTAGAATTTTCAGCTGATCATGACTCTTCCTGGAGCAGTCATTGGTACTGTGTTAGTCTTGCGCGTGTTTCGTGTATATCATAATGACTGACTGTAACCGTAATCATCTATGCCTCCTTCAGCATGTAGATTTATGTAACATGGTCAGACCGCTGCCACGCATAACCGTTACACCAAAAGGTGAAATACTGAAAGCTTAGCTTTCAGTATCAGCGACGGTATATGTACTGATTATGAGAACTCAGGTAAGCCAGCGTGCTTACAATTTCCCGGTCTTTGTGACTCACAATGTCAAAGAGTTTTCCCCTGAATGAGGCGAAATTCGAGCAGAAAAGCCAGGACAAAGTGTGCATGTACAGCATCGAGATATCTGCGACATGTGCTTGGTTGAGTTATCGGCTCGTTGGCAGTGTTTGAGTTTGCGCCGCTTCAGCACATACTGTATGTATTATCTCAAGACTCCACTGCTACAATGCAGCGGGCCGAGAATGATACTGATCCTCTTCAAGATAAATCTGTCAGCAAGGGGCCCCCTGGGGCTTTCATGTGTCAGCTTCCAATGGAAGGAGGGAGTTGGAATGTCACATTGATGATCCAAGACTCCATGCCAGGGGACACAGATAATCCACAACCTGCACGCCCTGGCAGACGATTGACACATTGGCAGGTCAAGAATGTAAGTTTGTCTTATATGACGCAGGACGCCAGGTGTTGTGGCTATCCAGAAGACGTGTCATTGGGAGATGGGTTACCAGTAAGCTCACGACACCGCACAAGGAAAAGGATAAGTGGATGATGCGCAAGGAAGACGCCAAGCAGACATGACGAGCTCCTCGTGTGGCCACGTATATGTACTGTATATCAGCTCGTAAAAATATGTGCACTCCATCATCCGCATATCGGACTCCCCATCTCAAAAAAAGTCACGCGCTCGCCATCTTGTCCCTCTCGCTCACCCACGTCTTTCGGATTCCAGCGTTCGCTCCATCTACGCTGTGGACGGTGAGGCATGCTTCGCCCAAAATGACGAGGATCGAAAGCCTGCCAACGCAAGTTATATCTAAAGGCAATACCAGAATGCCTCGTTAAGTTTAGCATACTGCAAAGTAAAATATAGTTTGTTTTGAACTTACTGTGCAAAGCACTCCAGACGATAGAAGCCGATAGCTGCAAAAATGAGCCGATCCAGCTTAACCAAAGTTCGACTGAGCTGACACGTGATGGAAACGAAAGAAAGGTGGGCGAGAGTATGACGAGGAAGTATACAACTTGTGCGGGGAAAGGGTTGGGTGTAGTGGGTGCTGATTCATAGCACTTTTGGATGGCCTCTGAGGCGGTGGCTAGTTAGAAGACGCATCACGGGGAGATGAATATCAAGAAGAGAAAACCAGGGAAGACAAGCATGCCAGGAAGTGGCAAAGGAGACACATATGTGCCCCATATTAATATACAATTTAAGGAGCAGACATGATAGGTGATAATCTTGAGCTTGCCGTGTATTCACCTACACGTACTCTGCATTAGCTCACAAAAGGCTCAGATTGAACCATTCCACATATCCGACTGCCTTATTCCAGAGTACAAGATAGAAAGACATGTACTTACCAGTTTCTCCTCGTCATTAACTCACGTCCTCCAGAATTCGGTCCCTACATCCTTCACTGTCCCCACAGTGGCCGTTGACGGTGAGGCGTGCGGCGCCAAAGATGACAATGATCGAAAACCTGCCAATGCAAAGGGTGTCAGTCTACTTAATTTTTTATGAGCCACATACGTTACTTTCCAAAGTCCAAAGGATAAACACGATTGCCGCATGCAGAGCAAAGTTGATCTCTGTGTAATAAAGGTGCACGCAGCACGTTGGGTCGCATCCAAAGGTAGTTGACTGTCTCCTCGTCGATTGGAAATTCTGCTGCCTGCTTATCAGTCATCCGCTCGCATCAGCCACAGCATACCAGTCTTACCAGATAGCCCTATTTCGCTGCCGTCCGTCGTGATGAGCATTGACACCTGAGGCAGGACGGAATCTGTCTGAAGCACAGATTGGTATCATATCCACAGAAATATTTTGCATTGGTGATAGGATCTGTACTGCAGTAGTATTGGATATCAAATTTTACATATGTTCGTGATATGACATATAGCCAAATTGGGGGGACAATATCCTAAATCTGATGACATCACATATCTAAACTTTGAAATAAAATCTTTTTGCTCTACAATACGTGTCATATATAGAATTTAAGTATGAATATGGTGGCTGATCAATTTTAATTACAAATTTTCAATATGAACCCTATACATATTTGGTATAGCGATTTCTTATTGGTCAGTCATCGAACAAATTCAGAATAATACAAACCAGATCTGCACATACAAAATATTATTGTCATAATTTCAATATGAGCATGGATCTGGTGCACAAACAAAGCCTTCCTTTCAAATTCTCAATATTGTGGTCTATATATTCTTCATTTGGAGATAAATCTGGTAGGGAATCAATTTCAACCACAATTTTTACATTTGTGCTCTATTTGTTTAGGTTCAACATCGAACAATAGATGTAAAATATTTTACAAATATGTTCCGCATATTAGCCTCCAGCCAATCCGGCAATGTCTCTGTTGTGAGCAAGACTTGAGCAAACTTTGTTTGTTTGTCGCACGTGAAGGTCATGTGATTGTGCCGGAGTCATAGCGATTGGGTATAGATACTCCACATACCTTCATATCTAGAAATACAACTTCTGCGATCAGAGCACAGTCCGATCTCTGGGTAATAGAGACGAATACTACAACGTCGGGTTGCGTACAAAGTGAAATATGACCGTCTCATATCGTCAATTGGGAATGCTTCCACCTGTTGGTTCACCAGCCGCAGCATCTAAAAACAGCATGATTTCGTTGACGTCCATGTGCATGAACATTGATATCGAGCAAGTCCAATGTAACGGGAACGGACTGCAAGGGGAACCTAAGGCCAGACCTCTATAGCGGGAAGCTACGGCTCTATCTAACAATTCTAACTGCGAGGACGAGCCAGGACACCTGCTACTGCGCCCGAAACAGTCAGATGAATCCATCATTTATTACCACGCGATACTACGAGTATGGCAGTGCGTGAATATGACTAGAAAGTATGAACGCAAGTACCATTACCAAGAACTACAAGTGCGGCACCAAAGCGGTCCATGACACCACCTTGTATACGTCAGGAGGAAGATTGCGCAAAGTGGTGAACATGAGTATCAAGAGGACGCCACGTCCTGTGACATACATTATGGAAGATATGGCGAACAAAAGCACAGCGATAATTCGGAATGCATGTGACTCGGATTTGACAAAAATCCCTGCAATGCACAAAAAACAAAGACTAACCGAGGGTGTGCAAGTTGTAACGACGGCACTCGTGCGCCATAGGACTTGTTCCTGATATGTGGGGAAGGAAAGAAACCAAGCTATACAATGGACGCCGCCAAATATGGTTGCTATAAGCAACGCAGAAAGCATAAGAACTGTCATATCCAAATTATCGAATTTGATGCTGCCATCAAATGTTGGAACTTGGAGCTTTTGAGATGTGGATGCGCCCATCAGTTCTAGAATTGGGAAAATGCCCAAATCCAAGAACTCTTTGAGCCCAGTGGGTTCTTTTTCTTCAACCGCGCTAAGGCAGACATAATCAGCAGCGGTATAATTGTTGGGGCGCGTGCTATATACTCATTAATGTAATCTTCTGGCCTTGACTCGGTTGACTTCCAGTACACTGGATATGGACATTGCACATTAAGAGGCTTGTTCCACCACACAGCATAAACTAGGAAATTGAGAACCGCAAAAGCGAGTGTCCCCACTTCGAGCTGGGTAATTTCGAGGTGATAAATGGCGCGAGTGATGAGCTGCATGACAAACCAGCCCACTTGAAGGATGATTAATCCTTTCGATATCGCATTGCCTTTGCTCCTGTCCTCGATTTGTTTTGCCATTAGGGTAGGGGCGTCGATGAACCCCTTACATATCAGTTTGAGAATATCATCAGGTTGTAGTGTAAGGTAGGGTTTCCCGTCCACGTAAAGCATGAAACCACCCATCAGCACAAAGAAACTGTGCGTCTGAGTCCACGAATAATCTAAGGATGCACATGGGTCAACGTTTAGGTGATTACGAATCGGGCTTACCTTCAGATTGCTCTGAAACATATGTCTTAAACAAATATTTGAACGGCCTCGCAAGAGCATGAGTTCCCCCATATATTGAGGTGGGTGCTGGAGTATTAACATAAACTTCTGAAGGAACAGTGCGGCCACCAGTAGAGATGACAAATTACCTTCAGGATGTGCTATGAGAAGCCGGGTGCTATCACGATCTTGAGAAGTAGGCAAGTTATGAGGAAGGGAAACAGCAAGACAGAATGTCGAGCTCACCTTCAACATATTGCTCCGCAGTTGCTTGGATGGACCCATAATCTAAGGACGTGCATAGTGAGCTGCCCGAGGAACATATGCAGTTTCAGACAGCACGGCCCACCTCCAGGCTGCTCCTGCGGCGGAGGAACACCGAAATATCCTGATTCCTCAAACTGTTTGGTAACATAACGAGTGCTGAACCACTGGCGCATGGCCCATAAGACGATCACTTCAGGAGTGATTAGTGCCATTATCATGGTGCCAAGTCGTCGCCATAGAATAAGAACGGAGCTGTCCTTAGGACTCGGGATATTAGGGTGAATGGCACTGTAAATGCACGCGAATATAGCAAGAACGCAGCTCGAGAGGATGTGCCACAGGGTTCTATTTGTGAATGATGGGACTTCAGGAATGCCGCTACTAGTGCTAGTAGTTGTATTTGTAGTAGGTGCAGCTTGGATGACTCCAACGAGGTAAAGGAAGATGCAGAAAAGTACCAGTGAGCGCATTATTGGGTGTTGCTTTGGGGTACATCGTGTATCATATGGACCTGCTCACTATTTGTATTCCACTAGCGGGCGTCATCTCAAGGCAGTACAATGTACAATGAGGCACTAGGGCTTGCCTGATGTTTGAATTTGCAGCATGGCAACTTGGCACTCGGGCTCACGAGTCGAACTTGGCACTGGCAAGGGGATGTGAAGTAATGATCGATCAACTAGCTCCCAGTTGGCCCAACAACCCTTGCCCGTCCCTGTAGCCCAATCTGTCAGTTTCTTGGCAAGGTTTGCCTATAGGCCTACGAAGATTCGTTTGAAATAGGTCGAGGCTCTCGGAAGATTCCCACGGCCGCAGCTTCCCTGTCTCCCGAAGGTCCTGATTCCCAATCGGTACATCTGACCACACTACATGAATATAGTTTGGAGAGCTCCAGAGCTGTCACGGAGGCGTGCACCGCCAAAATGCACCATAGGGGGATCTCAATATTGTGAACAATATCTAGGACGCATGTCTCAAACCCCTCACTGGCAGCTGGATGTTCGACACTCTTATGGGGAAGATCTCAGATGCGTAGGCCCTTCTTCTCGATCACAGTGGAACTAATCCCCTGGCACATCATGCATTTTTTCAACTTGAAGGCAATGGGCTCAACAACTTGCAGTTAAGGGCATGGCATGGCCTATTATCATCGGACGGGACCCATCCTGTCTTAAATCACTTTTCGCCCATTTCGCTCAGACTGACTCACAACGTCCTCTAGATCGCAGTCGAATCAATCTAGTTTCGCAGGTACATCTGTATGCATAAGTAGTGCAGGGTGTACTGTCTTGCGTACCAAATATATGTTAGGTTTCATTCTTATTCTTGTTCCCCGTTCAGCTGTCATTCGTACAGACGATTCTCGCTCCAGCAGATTAATGCAACAAAGACGTACTTAAGGTAGGCTTCTCAAGATGCCACAGTCAAGTTCACCAACCCACGACACAGCACGAGACACTTGGCTAGATTTTGTCGATGCACCGTATGGTTGGACAAGTCTCTCAGCAGACTCGAGTGTGCCCATGTTGATAACCCACAGACCAAGAAACCATCAACAAGGTATTAGGTTCAGGGTGAGTTGCGCGTTCATGCTGTTGTGGCTGGTTGACATGATGGACGCTGGTCCTGCAGCCTTGCCACTCTTATCGATAGTGCACATCACACCGTCATAACTTGGCACACATGCAAGATAAGGTTAAGAATATGGCGTGTTTGGGGCACAAGGAGGGCGACTTCCGTAGTGTATTCCTGCCTGTCGGTGTGGGCGTAATGAAAGTCGAGCAGCAAGACTGATAACAACGCATGCACGTACAGCACCGAGATATTTACGCCATGTGCTTGGTTGAGGAATCGACTCCTCGGCGGTGTCTAAGTCTGCGCCACTTCAGCGTATACTCTATGTATGACCCGAAGGCTCCATTAGCCAAAGTATAGTGGGTTTGAGGTCATGCTAACATGCAGCGGGTTGAGAATGATACCGATCCTCTTCAAGATAAAACTGCTGGCAAGGCGCCTCCTGGGGCTTTGGTGCATCAGCTTGCAGTGGAAGTAGGGAATCAGAAAGTCTCATCGATAATCCAGGACTCCACGCTATGGGACGCAAATAATCAGAACAACCTATACATCCTGGAAGACGATTGATAGATTGGCAGGTCATGAACGTAAGGGTTTCGTGGGCGATACAGGACGCCACGTGTTGTGGCTATCTGGAAGATGAATCATTGGAAGATCGGTCGCCGGTAAGAATATAACGTTGCACAAGGAAAGAGAAACGAAGATAGGCAGACAATGTGCAGGAGAGAGGCTAGGGAGACAGGACGAACTCCTCGTGTACCCAAGTATATGTACCCTGTATCAGCTCGTAATCAAAATCGGCAACTGTGCACTCCCATCATCCGCACATCCGACTCCTCACCTCAAAAAATAAGACATACACTCACCATCCTGTCCTTCTCGCTCACTCCAGATCCCGGCCTTCACTCCATCTACACCGTCGACGGTGAGGTGTGCTTCGCCAGAGACGACGAGGATCGAAAGCCTGCTAACAAAATGGATTTCATCTAAAGGAGTCATTTTGTGGAAAAATAAGTCGCGCACGTTCCTTTCCAGGGGACAAACACAGTTTCCGCGTGCAGAGCATTGTTCTCTGTGCAATAAAGGTGCACGCAGCACGTCGGATCGCATCCAAAGGTACTAGTTAACTGTCTCCTCGTCGATTGAAAATCCTGCTGCCTGCGTATCAGTTGTCTGCTCGCATCACCCACAGCATACCTGATAGCCCTATTTCGCTGCCGTCCATGGTGTTGAGCAAGTTCGAGCAAGACTTAGCAGAGTGTGTTGGGTTTCGGGTCACACATGAAGGTCATGTGATCGTGTCGGAGTCATAGCGATTGGGTGTACTACCTACTACCTAGCCTAGGTCCATCGTCCACTACAAGAATGCTACATCTGAATGTCATTACAAAAGTATGAAATGTATCGCAAGTATCATGATAAGTAACTACAAGTGCGGAACCAAAGTAACCCAATCCACCGCCTGGTATGCTCCAGCAGGAAGATGGCGTGAAGTGGTGAACATAAGCACCAAGAGGATGGCACGAGCTGTAACGTACAGTATGATAGATACCAAACCAATCGAGAAATACAGAAATATCAGGACTGCTGCACCTGCTGAATCGAATGTAAAAGTCGCAAAAAAGAAAAGCCAGGGTGTGCCAGTTATAGCAAGGGCACATATGCGCCATAGGAGCCGTTCCTGATGTGTGACGAAGGCAGACGGCCAAGCTAGACAATGGATGCCACCGAATATGGTTGCCATACTCAATGCAGCAAGTTGAATGACCATTTTGTCCGAGTGTCCGAGTTTGATGCTGCCATCGAATGTTGGAACTCGGAGTGTTAGGGATGTGGGGACGTCGAACAAGCCTATCAGTTCTATGATTGGGCCGAGCACCGGAGAAAAGATCCCAAGCGAAGCGGTTTTGTCTCTGTCACTGAGACTAAGACAAATATAATCAGCAATGGTATGGTTGTTAAGGTACATACATACTCAATGTAATCCTCTGGCCTTGACTCGGTCGACTTCCAGTACACTGGATGTGGACACTGTACATTGAGTGGCTTGTCCCACCACACAGCATAGGTTAGGAAATTGAGAACTGCAAAAGCTAATGTCCCCACTTCGAGCTGAGTAAATTCGAGGCGACAGATGGCACGGGTGGTAAGCTGCATAATAAACCAGGCCACTTGAAGCATGACCAATCCTTTCGATAACGCATTGCCTTTGCTCCTGTCATAGATCTGGTTTGCTGTCAGGATAGGGAAGTCGATACAGTCTTTGCGCAACAGTTCGAGAATGTCATTATACCGTAGTGTAAGGTAGGGTTCCCCGTCCACGTAAAGCATGAAACCACCCATGAGCACAAAGAAGCTGTGCGTCTGAGTCCATGTATAATCTAAGGACGCGTCTGAGTCAGCGTTTAGGCGGGCACGAATCCGGCTCACCTTCAGATCGCTCTGAAACATGGGCCTTAAACATCTTTGTGAATGGCTTCGCGAGAGTCCACGCATAATCTAAAGATGCATGCCAAACATCAGGTGTGTTTGAGAGAAACGGGTCGGGCTTACCTTCATATGGCTCTGAAACATAAGTCTTGAACAACTTTTTGAGTGGCTTCGCAAGAGCACGAGTCTCCTCATGCCTTAGGGTGCGCGCTAGAGTACTAGTATGAATCACTGAAGGAAGACCACTACAGATGACGGTTCACCTTCAGGATGCGCTAAGAGAACCCGGGAGCTATCTTGATCTTGAGAAGCAGGTGAGTTGCGAGGAAACGTATTTGAGGTGCGGGATAGAGTGTAAAGTTGGTGACCTCGAGTGTATTGTTCTGCAGATGCTGCTATGGACCCATGATCTGAGGATATGTATAGTGGGACTCACCTTCAGACTCAGGACGGATATTGGGATATCCCGATTTCTCAAACTGTCTTGTAACAGAGCGTGCGCTGAACCACTGACGCATAGCCCATGCGACGATCAGTTCGGGAGCGATAAGTGCCATTATTATGATGCCAAATTGTCGCCGTAGGATATGATGGGGGCTGTCCTTGGGACTCAGAATATTAGGGTGAATCGCACTGTATGTGCACGCAAACAGAGTGAGAACCGAGCTGGACACGATGGTCCATAAGGTTCTGGTCGTCAACGATTCAGAACCGTAGGCTGTCGGGGGTGCAGTAGTACCATCAGTTGCATTCAGTGTTGTATCAGGTGTAGCCTGAGCTTGGATGACTCCAACGAGGTAAAGAAAGATGCAGACCAGTAGTAAGCGCATCATTGGATGTCACTTTGGGGTTAATTGTTGCGTCGTATGCATACCGTTCACTATTTGTGTTTTACTAGCGGGCGTCAATTCAAGGCAGTACAATGTAGAATGAGGCCGCGAATGTGCTTCAAGTTGACAAGACGTTAATCATCATGAGAATTCCGATGTTCGCACAGGCCCGGCACAGGTTCACAATGATCCTGGCCCGTTGGTACAATGATATCTGAAAAATAGATGAATCAGCCCTATGATAGCATCATATGTCTATGATGAATCGACTTCTAGCACGTCTTTGTCATACCTTCTTGATCATCAGCGACAGAGGTAGATAGCAAGATATCTCTGCAGGCGGTTGAAACCCATCATGCATCAAGCTTCTTCATTGTGTGATGCAATCATCAATACATCACTGCAGGGGTGATCGATATGCTCATATGCACTGATAATCACCGGTGATGCATATGCATGATGGGCTGTGTCGTCTATATTCAGCATCCTGAAGCGCGTCCACCTGAGGCTGAACAGTAAACAGTATTAACAATCGTAAACAGAACCGAATTCCCGCTCTACTACACGCCACCTATCAATACTACATCAAGTCACCCGGTGACCCAGGATGTTCATCTTATCGTCTTCGCATCTCAGTTGAGTTCATCATAAATTTCGCCAAGTCCCTCATCAAACTTGAACTCTGCGCAAAGTCGAGCGTTTAGTTTCCAAATGTAACCTTTACGCCCGGACCTTTAGTAAGTATCTACTCAACATTTTTCTTATCAATATCTTCACAGCCCAATTTCGCCTCAGAGTTTATATCAAGTGCCTTTGTTTTTCCGTCAAGTCCTTTCGACCAGAACCATCACGCAACGTCGTAACAGCTTGTCATCTCACCCACCTATCCCAGTTACCTTTCAATAGCCAACCGGCTGTGCATGTCTCAGAGGCCGTGAGCTCTCTTGCATACGTCACGGTCCCAACTTCTTCGACGGGCTCTTCGGCCTTGATGACCAGCCGAGCTGCGTGCGTTGTTAATGAGTGATACCTGTCCAAGGGAAAGAAGCTTTGAAACCTGCGGCCATTAAGGCTGCAAGTTTGATCATCGTTTTCTTCATGGGTATGTACTAACTAGCGATGCTTTATTGATCGAAACCACTCATTTATGGCGCATATAGTCACACCATCGGGTCGAACTACTGGGTAACTGTCAAGTGTCAGTGCGTACTTTTGTTTCTCCCTTCTGTTGATGCATGTGTTAAAATCAGAAGTAGGTTACATCTATCCAGCAACTGATGTTCGACGGAGATATATGGTCCTGGAGTGTATCATGTCGAGCAGGGTATGGGAATCTTGATAATTGCGTGTATTGATATGAGTTTTGATCTACATATTCTTGCAAGTCCACTACGTTCTGTTTACAGCCTCTAGATATATGGTCGGTTCTAAATCTCGCCCGAATCCATATTGAATTTGTGCCCTGCTCCCAGTTGTACCTTGCTTACCCACTCGTATTCTAACTTCTTTTGCTTCTTTTATGATTGAATTCCCGAATTTGGCTCAACATTAGCTTTAGTAAGTGTTTTACCATTCTACCGGTTGTCCCAGCACGGCTAACTATAGTTTGGGGTTCGTATTGGCAATTCACAACTTTATCGCGACTCGATCTCGCAAACCGGGGGTCACATGCACACATGAAATATAGATGTATGGGCTATCTATATCAGGCTCTGTGTTGTGATATTTAGCTTACAGTAGTGGCGAAAATGTAATGCATTCATTGCTCCGTCACGCAGTGTACTTGCAGGCAATATCAATGGCAGTTGAACGTTGATATATGTATCCCTGCCTTTTCGCATCTCCTGGTGCTAGCAGTCGCTAATCTACCCACAGCCTCCACTCCTTCTCTCATTGCCATCTCGCACCACCACCACCCTAGGCTATTCCACCATCTACCGCCCTCGCACACCTCCGCACACCTTCGCAAGCTCACACTATTGAACCATGCATCTTGAGACACCCGGGCCCGGAGTACCGTGTCAATGCATCACTCATTGGCACCCTCAAGTCGATCGCCACAGCCTATCGAAGATTTACTGGTACTTCAAGGAAAGGTCCCAACTAAATGTGTACGTGTACATACAGGCTTCTGTTCTACGATAAACACTCCCTCTCTGTCTGACTGCACTTGACAGTAATGGCCCAGGCCTAAAGCATATCCAACGACAGGATTTAATCTCCTCGACAGCTGTCGTCAAACTAGGTCGTTAGTTCAGTGAGTATTATTTTCAACTGTTCACGACTCTTCTTTCTTAGTGGTTCTGCAGCGATCATTGGTGTTAGTCTTGCACGTTTTGTGTATATCATAACGACTCACAGTGATCGTAAGTGTCTATGCTTTCTTTGGTGTGTAGATTTCCCGGCCCCGGTGACTCACTACGTTAAAGATGATTCGAAAGTTTTCCCCTAAACAGATGGTAAAAGATTTGTCGCGCATTCCATCACACTGCACGAGAAAACTCACCTTCGTTTCCTAACACCGGGATACCTGTTGAGAGCCGATGAACCTGAGGACGGAAAGGCCGAGAGAGGAGGAACCAAAGGGGGAAATGGGACTACGGCCGATGAATAAGGCAGCTCGAGGTGCGAGCGCCACCAAACGGAGAATCCAGACGACGTGTCAAACGTCGGCAATCTTTTTCGTTCTTTTAGTATATGTTTCCATCAAAACTCCTGCTGGCGCACTCACCATATAAAAGCAGCCAGCCGCCGTCGAAACATCTCAGATTCGTAAACCGAATACTGAGATGTGAGTGTTCTAATGTGACGTCTGAGTACGAGTGCTAACGTACAACGTAGCGTACCTGTCTAGGTAAAAACATTCGTCAATAAAGAGATTCGTAAACCGAATACTGAGATCGTACCTGTCTAGCCTCGCTATACTCACAATAATACCCTTGCCTTGGTATCACGAGTTAACCCAGTGAACGTAAGAGCAATGCCTTCCCTAGTATTTTGGTGCGTACTGCTATAGAAATCTGACGCTGCAGGGCATACTCATGTGCTGTCGAGAAACATAGCAAAACCACTGATTTCTTTTCCAGCCTTATGTTCCCTGATATGTCTTCCAATTTTATCGTTACAACATGACTTTAGGCTTATAATAAGGTAAGGAACCGGGAGTTTTACTGATGAACTGAGTCAAAAACTGTAACAACGATCTCCATAGGCATCGCCAATCGTACTGCCGCTGATGCACCAGCTCCTGACTCCACCGGACTCTTTGTCTTCGTTGAAACGTTCACCATCTCCGTGACCTTTCTATCGACATGTTATCTGAGGCAAACGACTCAGATGATTGGGGCGTTCTGACACGTGCGTACTCTTAAAATTTCATAGTTTAGTTGACAAGGCCCTCGCATCAAGCACAACTTCGCTTCGCCATGTTGACAAATGCTCTGGCATTGGACTGCAAGAAGTCAGTCCTGACTCGGAATCTCTAACGGTGTGGAACGCTTCTGCTGCCTTTCATTGCAATCGTGTTTAACCTGGTGTTATGAAAAACCTACCAGTGGATTGATCAGGATGCCCGATATTCCAGCTGAATCTGTGCGTTGCCCTTGTTCGCGAGTAGATATCGTCCAACGTAGCTTACTTCCAAAACAGACTAGCAATCAACGCATCCACCAGGATAGTACCGAAACAGCCGCACAGGACATAAAAATGCAATGTCATGATCACCATTCTCATCTCTCTACAGCCTTCTCATTCCGCTCTTCCCGCAGCTCCTTTTCTCTGCCTTGTGTATACGGTTCTCCCGATGACGTAGGCTTGCGGATGTGTTATCTAGGACAAACACGGCGCTATGATCGCTTGGGTGCGTAGCAGCACATGCGTCAAATTTAGGAGGGAGTGAGAGCATGTTACTGGTGGTTTGAGAGGAGATGGGGCACCCGTTATCTTATTCCACCTGTTCAGTTGAGAAAATGTATTCACTGCAAGACATACCATATTGGCTTCAATTGTATGTTCAGTGCGCGACGCATGAGCGCAGTGTCATACCGGATGTTTGTCAAGATCTGCTGCGTGCGATCACTTGCCTTGTTCTTCTGGGAATCCACATTCAAGCTGAGAATGCGCTTCTTGATCACGATTACGTGCGCAGTGTCGTAGGTGGTACGTGGTGTATGAAGAGTTCTACTATGTATATGAAAATATATTAGATGTCATACAAGACGGTCAGCAGGAAGACACCCACGCCAAATATGCATCAGGCACTTTCGATTTTTCACAAACTTGTGAAGGCCGAGAAGTTCTTTAGTAATCGGCTTAGTACATATACATTCGATGGTAAAGTTGCTCTGGGGTATATCCCTTCCCACCAGGCTTGAATAATGCTACGGCTGGCTGTCAGAATGGATTCCCATGCCATAAAGACAGAAGGGACGTACGCGAAAGAATGGTGCGAGAACAGTAAGAGCACGCGATAGATTTGTGTGTGAGATCCGGAGCAAATACGAATGGGTCATACAGTGATTTAGTTCTGCGCTCCAAAGCAGAGACGCGTTCATGTTGTGGTGCGTCAGTGGTTAACAGATCGGGGTTAGCCCGGCACGACGTTCAGCGAGCTTGGGACATCATTCAAAGTGATGTGGCGTACGAGAAGGTTAGGAAAGTAATCAGTGAAATGAACGAGGTTTGAGCTTGGAGATCCGTGTGGTGTCTTCCGCATACCAGCTGCGGATATGACAAAAAAATGTCAAGTTCATCATCAACGAGGAATGAGAGACATGCTTGCCTCGGATTCAGGAGGTAGGCATGCCACACCATAGTGACATCGATGGGAGGCAAATGTTGCTCCACTGTATCAGATTTCTTGATCGTCAGACACCACCTCTCAAACCTGTGCTCCACCAGTGCAGTAAGTTGACAGTGCAAGCGCACACAGAAGGCTAGTAAAGCACGCACCGTTCAACAGCCAAATTGACAAACTATACTCAACGCTTCTCGCTGTCCGACTCTAAGCCTGCGATAAGGCTCTCGCTGGCAGTGATGCGCTGCTCAAGCTGGCTGAACGCTGCCAGAAGGTGAAGATGGGCCCCGAGCTGATCTGGGCGGATGAGGTGTCGTGTTCTGCGTTGTCCGATGTTAAAGGTCTCTGGAGGAGTATACTGCGGTGGTTCGGGCGATAGCTGGGGAGGCGTAGCATGTGGGGGGCGCTGCTTAGTCATGTTGGAGACTGCTGTGTGGCTCCTGGCCGATATATACCTATCGGAAGAAGGACACGGCCAATCACGGAGTGCAGTACGCGTATTTCCTGCTACAGCAATGAATCGCCTAAAGTTTGAGGCTATGCTGTCATAAGTCACGGTATTGATACAAAGCCAGGGATGGTAGAACGGTAGTTACCTAGGATTGCCAGCATACCGGTATGCATACAGATGGAGAATCAAGTATAACTAGTAGGAATATGTTGATTGGGATGTACCAAAGGTTTCTTTGGGATGCGGACTGTTGGCCTATGTCTCCCTTAGCTTGATCATTTCGATGTTAGGTTCTGGCGGGTGTTGGTATCTTTGAAAGAGCATCGCCACCTGTACCAGACCAGCCATTTCATTAATTGTTAAGTATAAATTAACAACAGGGATTTTAACACCTTTTGCTTACAATATCAATAATTTCGTACCTTGTGTGCGTCACGCCGTCCTGTGACGATCTGTAATAGAAAGGTCCCTGAATGCCTTGCGCTTCAAGAACAATGAAGTCAACATTGAAGCAGGTTGGAGCTTGCCTTAAGGCTTGTGGCCAAGGGTATAGAACTTTCCTTTCTCGTCACCCATTTCCGAGTTCGCTCAGACTAATCAAACGACGATCTTTGTTGGGGGTGAATCAAAGGCTGTGCCGCACTAACCTGAATTGTATAGCCCCCCATCCTCTTATTTTAACTTATGGTACGACGACTACTGAATACAACCCACATTCTTTGACCGTCCGTCATTCACAACACCGCTAATTGAATGAACATGGGGGACCGTGGTCAGGGGTACGGTCGCATTATCGGTGCTACATGCAGTATCTGCTTTACTGAACTAACTGTGTAGGAAGGTGACTTTACCAGCCGATTTAACACCCTTCATCACTCGAACAACTCAAGACCACATTTGCGGAGGTGGATTCGGTGATGTCTGGAAATGCAATTACAATCCAGATGGTATTTCAGCCATCGTCAGTTCACGTGTTAGACTCATTTACTGTGCGCTGGCTTACGCCAACCAATCGTTGAACACATAAGGTTGCGGTCAAGGCCTTCAGATACCCAGAGCAATGTGAAGATTCAGAGAGAATACACAGGGTAAGAAATATCAGATCCGCATATATAATAGCACATACTACTTATACCATTTGGGGGTCATCCAGAAAATTAACAGAGAAATCGGCATTTTGACGATTTTACGCCATAATAACATTGTACCGTTGTTGGGTACAGTGACAGGATTTGGACGGAAGCCAGGGTTGCCCAGCTTGGTAACTCCGTGGATTTCCAACGGCACGTTGAATGCCTACCTTGCATCTAAACGCAAGCATCTAACAGTGCTGGACCGTTCACGTATGGTAAGTAGAATTCCCATCACATCCTGTCACTTACCAGGACTGACTCAAAGTTGGAAGCTAGAGGATGTCAGTGCTGGACTGCGTTACTGTCAGTTTCATATTTTTTCTCAAGATGTTATGGTAACCTACCATGAGTGCAGTGCACTCTGTGCCTGTCGTGCATGGGGATATAACAGGAGTGAGCTCGGAGCTGCTAGGATTTATTTGGAAACTAATAAAACTGTAGGCAAATATACTAATTGACGAGGGAGGCCGGGCGAAGCTAATCGATTTTGGCCTTTCCACCGTTGTCACGCCCGTTTTCGGCCAATCACACTTGGCTGTAACATCGATACATCCAGGCGCAATCCACTATGCAGCACCAGAACTTCTATTAGATGATGTCAATGTCAATGGTCTACCTTTGGAAAAAACCGACATCTACTCATTTGGTTGTGTAATGCTTCAAGTGAGTTGGTTATTTGGTCACAAAATATTCACTCGAGGACTTACGGAACAAGATTATCTCGGGTCAGCACCCTTGGTCTGAGATCAAGTGTCAATCCCCGGAATTCCGTGTCTATGGTTTGAAACGCCAAGGTCATAGTCCGCAGCGCCCAAACGGTCACCCTGCAATAATGGACTCAGATTGGGACATGATTCAAAAATGTCTGCAATCAAAATTTGAACTTCGGCCTTCAGCAGATGAAGTATTCGACTTTGTCACGCGTAGGCCTTGCTCATCAGGTCAGCCTGTATAGTCCGTAGTGCTTTTTTGACCATCCACTCATTTGAGCTTCAAGATTCTTCGAGTCTACCTAACGATTCTCCCGATAATGCGCAGGGTGGCTTCCCCGGAGCTTCCTCGCACAATAATTCCAACGGTATAACAAAACACCCGTTTAATAGTCTACGATCCAACCCTGATCATGAGCCGACGGATGGAATTATAGAGCCTGGAGCTCAGATATCTTTGTAGGTCTAGAACGGCACAGATTCACAAGTTTTGATATTCATTTTTTTCAGTCCTTCTTCACCACCCAACACTGATTCTTCGCCATTATTTCAGAGTGTCAGTACTCATCCCACCACGACGTTCGACAGTGATTCTCGTAAGTTACATTCATGTCAAACAAGCATCGAGGCGGATATGTTTCATCACCATGAGTAGTTCGATCGACTAGCAACCCAGGACATGAACAGAAACAACCGGCGCCACCACCACCGCCACCTCCAAACGCATGGTCGAGCAACCACGAAGTACGTGCTTCTCGAGAGACACAATACCATAAAGAGAGGTTACTGATTGAATATATCAGACGCGCCTGCGGGAAAGAAATATCGTCATATTTGGCGAAACCGGTTCAGGGAAAAGTTCAATCATCAACACAATCGCGCAAAAGCAGCTCGCGAAGACATCTAACGATGCACATGGATGCACTTCTACCTCTCAACGTTACCCAGTAGAATTCTCAGGCCAGCAATTCGTCCTGATTGATACCGCAGGTCTCTGCATGGGAACTGCAGACACCGTGTCAGCGGCAAAAGCGGAAAAAAGGTTGAAGAATCTGTTGCGTGAGCTCATGAGCTCCAAGTTGGATGAAATTAGCCTTCTGGTGTACTGCATGGACAGCACGATCGCCACTAGCGCCCTCCTTAAGGCCTATGATAAATTCCACTCTGGAATCTGCCAGAAGAAGTTTCCGATCGTAGTCGTCATCACAGGATTAGAGAAAGAGACCCACATGGAGAGCTGGTGGGATACCAATGTGAAAAAATTCAAGGGCATGTATTTCGAAGGTCATGCTTGCGTCACAACGCTTTGGGAACACACAAGCCTCCCAAACCACATCACTCATCGTATTTCAGAGTCGGGCGATATTCTGCGCAAACTTGTCATAGACAATTACGCGGATTTACCAATTGCCAACGGCTTAGATTCGGCGATGAGCAAAAGCTGGTTCAAGAAGAAGGGATGAACAGCGAATATCAAGTAAACTGTCGAGTTTAGGAGATTACAGTGGTGTACCGTATGTTACATGTTCAAACGTTCAAGTTCGTCGCCACGCTCACCAACTGACTCATTATGATCATTGCCTCATTCTATGTTCAGTCTCTCGCGCATTATTCTCGAATGAACTCTTTTCTTTTGCTGCATACGTAATATTGGCGCTGTATTACTGACTTGTGAATCCGACTCGGTGTAAAAGACTTATCGAAGACGACGAACTTGTGGTGTTGATTAACGTGATGAGCAAGTTCAAGCAAGACTTGAGTGGAAGTTTGTTCGGTTGGTCTCATGTCACACCTGCAGCGATCGTGTCGTTCATAAACGCACCGAGCCACGTCGTGCAGATTGACACGAATTTTGTCGAGGAGTTTGTAAGGCGCCGTCCGCTCGTCGAAGCGCTGCAAGGAGCAGAAATGTCCATGGTAGACAGTTCCATAAGTAGCCGACGTGAATTTGATATCTTCCTTCAGACCTTGTAACCATTCGTCGATACAACATTCGATCTACCAGTGATTCATCAGCGCCATCAAATTGAATATAGAATAAGAGACTCACAGTTGTAAGCACAAGAGCGATAACTTCGACGGGCATAGGATTAAAATATTTATGGTGGATGACGCCTTCATCGTGTCGATTCGTGAACCACATGATGTTGATGCCCAGTTGCAGTAACTCCGTCTTGTAGATTCCCTTCTTCGACTTCCAATCCTATTAGTCCAAAGAGTTAGTACTTGAAATACCATGTAGATCATCAAAATATGTACCTTGAAAGCAAATACAGAACCGTCTTTCAAAGACTCTGCTAGATCCCTATTCTGTCGTATCACATCGTTGGAATTGCTCGACCGGAAACCGAAAAAAGATGCTGTCAGTGAACGCATTTTTGTTTTGAGTTCCCCACGAACTTGTGATGTGTGGGTCAATAGCTTCGCAAAGTATGATATAGTAAATCAGTTGAAGAACACACGGAGATCAGACGACTCACCATTTTGACACCTGAAGGTGTCAATTTGACATTGATGCCTTTGATTTGACATGCCTCATGCCAGGCTTCTTTTGCCAACTGCGTCTCGACAGCAATGTTCTCGGGAAATGGCGCCTGGGAGACTATCAGACACCAGAAAATACAGGCTGCCGTCCCCAAAATCTCTTTGGACACATCATCGAAGTCGCTGACTTTCATGCGATGGCGTGAACCATCTGAATTTTTCTTGATCTTCGGCAGTACCATGCCATCGTCCAAAGTCTCCGAGTCGTCAAGTGGACGCTTGGACCCTCGAGCTATCGGCGACAGTTCTTCGGCGACATAGTCATCAGTGAACCGGTGAAGAAATTAGAAACGGATTCATGCCTATATATAGTACCTAATCCCAAGAAGCAACATAATTCTGCCATCGATGATTATTTTGTTTTATAGAGGAAAGAAGAGTTCCTGATTCTCCGACAAAGGCTTGTGACTGGGAAAAGACCCTCAAATCACTCGAACTCGGACTTCGAGTGAATGTGGAGCCAGAGCTAATAGTCTACCTACACCCATCATACACACGACTCATTGGAGATAAGGTTAGCAACTTACAACTCGATACGACAGACAATGACTTCCAGACGACGAAAATGTGTTCGACTAAGCGATCGACACTGAATTTATGAGTCGCTTTGAATCAAAACACCATCTTACTCAACCGCATGATTTGCGAAACGATGTCAACAATTTATGACCGCAATGCGACAGACGATGGCTTCCAGATGACGAAAACATCAGGGAAAACCTCCTTCACGAAATCAAGGTAATTTCAGAGAATTCCTCTGAATTCCGCTGAAATAAAAGTAAACGAGATTATTCAACTCCAGTCGAAATTCCTTTGAATTCCTTTGAAATCCTTTGAATTTGCTGATTGATTATCTTGAATTATCTTGAATTCAAACAATGTGAAGACACACGAACATCAAATATATTAGAATTAAACGAGAATATCACAACCGAAAGACGGCAAAAAGATCAGCAGACTCGAAAAAGCACCAGTATGTACAAATGACTCGGAAGGTTGATTAATCTTCACCCATTGCATCAAGATCAAGGTAATCACAAGCGGCGTCCAATGAACCAGCGGGCTCTGAGCTTTCTACTGCACTAATGTTGAATTAGTTAGAGTACACGACGATAACAAATAGCGCGTGAGCAAGACATACCTGACTGCCTTGTAGAGACGCGCCATCAGTACATGGTACTTCTTTCGACTACCGTTAAAGATGCGTGTGAGAGTCGCTTGGTGAGCGTTGTAAACACTGATGTGGAAGGAGGAATTGAATGATTTGACTTGTGCGCCTGAGGGTGGGTTCCCGCTGCTCCAATCCTTCAATATCGAGTAAATCTGCAGAGAACATTATGTAGTGAGCAAACAGAGTAAACATTATCAAGAGCGGCACCTACAAGCGTTGCAATCAAACACACCATAGCAACAGGTAGCTCGGGCTCGTTGTTTCCATCCAAGACCGAGACAAAATCGTCACAGGACTGGACACCAATTGAGTTCTCACCATCGAAAAAAGATAAACGGATGGAGTCAACCATAGACTCGTCACAAAACGGTTGGTCCCCAAGGACCTTACCCTGGGTGGTGGATAAGAATAAGATAAATGAAGAGATAGATAACGAAAAAATGAACAGACCTTGGCGTCGGTTGGGAAAATATACTTGTGACCCTTGATGAGGTCGTCTACCTCGTCACCGCAGCCTTTCTTGAGTCCAAAACGAGAGACCACAATTTGATGCGCGAGTTTCTTGAGATTAGTACGGAAGGAACTAAGCCGTCCCTCCGGCTTGTGAGGATGTCAGTGATGTCCAGTAACATACAAGAAGTGTACATACCACTCCAGCGAGAGCCACCGCATAATCAAAGTCATGCTTGATCCTCTTTGCTATCGCATATTCCTTATGCTTCCCGGCAGCATTATAAACTGCATCGAGAGCCATCTTGCGCTTCTGAGTGATGTTGGGAAATGCGTTGTCGAAGATAGAGGCTTTCTTGAGTTCAAAGACGGCAGTCTTCAACACCTGCTGAATCCGAGTATTCTGAGCCTTGAGGTTGATCGAGCTATCGGCTGAGTAGACTAGATCTGTGAATATAGGCCATGTAAAGGAGTGTTCAGACAACTCCTTATCGGCGGAGGCTGGCAGTGCCTCGTCTGTTAGCTGCCGCGACTCTGCGAATTTGGGCCTCTAGAAAACAGTATATTCATTAGTAAGACAGAGTGATGGGAGCGTAGTAGAGTAGAACACATCACCTCAATTTCTTGACGTGCTTCTGCTACTTTGCTCCTTTTCTTCTTCTTCTTCTTGCTTGGCTGTGGTTTCGAGTTGGTGAGTGATGAAGGCTCGCGGTAATCATAACTTGCCTTGGAACGTTGACTGTCACTGCGGTCACTGGCAGACTCCGTGTCTTTGTCAGCAAACTGCAACTCTGACTCAGACTCGTCAGAAACCCCGCTAGATGTCATCCGAACACTATTCGACAATGTTTTGCTGGTTTGCGATAGTGCGCTGGCAGATCTAGCTGCACGAGGAGGCATCATGTAGGGAATCTTAAATAAAAGGTGCGTCATTTTTTTCATCATTCTCAACTTTGGGTAGCTAAGTGACGACTCACCTCTTTAATCAGTTCCTTCTGGGAGGGTACTAAGTCCTCATCATCGTCTTCTGGAACCTCCGCATTATCGTCCGATTTGTCGGTGTCATGATCACTCTCTCCGTATTCACTGACAGAGTCGTTATCTTCGATTGACACTGCGACTGACTTTGGCAGCTTGCTGTTTTTCTTATTGCGGCCTTGACTTTGACCATGACCGTTGACTTGATCCGCTGTTGAGTATCTCTCATACTGATCTGTTAAGCAACTACTAACCATTGTCTAACTTTTCTGCAGGTGTCTTTCGCGCTAACTTGGCGGCTGGTACTGATTGTAGCGCAGTTACTGTGGGTGCGCGCTTACGAGTATTGGTCATTGTCTCATTCCAGACTGAAACAAGGTGTGTCAATGACTGCTTTCTCCAATTGCCTGTACTAACTTTTTCGCTCTAAGGCCTTTACTTTGGATGACCGCTGCAGTGGTTCTTGGTGATGACTGTGAGTCCATCGCATTTTTCTTGGCCTATGGATGTACTCACTCTCTTCTGTATTGCCGGTTTTTTTGCCAGTGGAATCTTGACTTGCCACCTGGGCCTTTCTTTGGGCGTTCCGCTTGTGGGCGGCTATATCTGACGGCGTTGAAGACAGATGGGGACTCGGAGGCATACTACTAGTAGTGTTTGCTTCAGCTGAAGTTGGGAAGGGAAAGGTTGAGACGGTTATGAAAACTTATTGGTGGCCACTCTCATTTTCAGGTCTGTTTTTTTACTGTGCTGTGCCAGCGCTAGGGTCGTTGGTTTTTTTTTCATCTAACGTGTGGTTACAGAAATGGCTAAAACAAGCAGAGCGTCTACTAGCAGAATTTCAAGCTGCAACCGTCAACTTGAATGGTGCTCCCTCTCCTCCCCTCTCAGGTTCAGCTCGCCGCATCATCAAAGAAGCTGAGGCACGTGTAGCCCATGCTGATGGACAGAGAGTCCAGGCAGAAGCATGTACTGCCAGGCAACAAATCCAACTCGGTTCACAGTGTGCCACCATCATTTTAGTACGTTTGTTTGTTGCCGTGCTGTCACCGTAATCTAACCTGTTCTGAAATATCAAGTAAATTCGTGTTGTGTGGCCGCGTCTTCGTACCCTTCCATGCTAAGGAAGGGAGCCTGTACCTTTTTGAAACAACCGCGTCTTCGTACCCTTCCATGCTAAGGAAGGGAGCCTATACCTTTTTGAAACAACCGCGTCTTTGGCCGCGTCTTCGTACCCTTCCATGCTAAGGAAGGGAGCCTGTACCTTTTTGAAACCTGTACTGCCAGGCAACAAATCAAACTCGGTTCACAGTGTGTGAATCTTCACACTGGATAGCACGCTGTAAGGTTTGCACCGTCTCTCTACTACCCATCACTACCTACCTACCTACCACCACTACCTACCGCCTGTTTTGTTGCCAACAAAATGATCACTTGCCCAGGTTGCACCAAAAACTTCGAGCACGCTGGATACTCCCATCACCTAGCCAAGACCACGAATCCATCATGCGCAGCCCTATTACAACATTCTGGTCTTTTTCCTCAGTCAGAGCCTGAGGTTGAGAATTCTGACGGTCTTGATGATGGAGATGACAATGTTGATCCTCGTCATCTAACGGAATTTACAGGAGACTATTTTGGCCACTACAACGAACAAGATCTGGAATGGCCAGATGATAATGACGAAGTTGCAGCGGCGGAGCCTCCTTTGGATTCTGATGGCGAGGAAGAGGATCACAATGCAGAGGTTGAGGTTGAGAATGGGTGGGAACGCCCTGCAGATCCTGTACCGCAGGATATCGACGTTGATGTTTTTGAGGAGTCAGATATGTTGCCACAATCACATGCAGCCGAACGACAAGAAGCGGAGAAAGCCCTTGGTCGCCAGCCCACTATTGAGAAATTTCCGCGGCGCCATGCAGGTGCTCCAATACTTAACTCTGGCACTACCGCTTTCGAGTCTTATAACAATGCTCTGCAAGGCGCAGACAATGTTTGGGCTCCCTTCGCATCTCGCATAGACTACGAGGTTGCAAAGTGGGCAAAACTTCGTGGATCGGGCTCAACTGCTTTTTCAGAGCTGCTTGCAGTCGAAGGGGTGAGTCTTCATTTTCTTGGGTCATGAATGGGCCAACTTTTTAACTACGTTTCTATAGCTTCATGATGCCTTAGGTCTTTCGTATCGAAACACCCGTGAACTCAATCAAATCATTGACCGACACTTACCATGCCGACGACCTCGTTTCAAACGTGAAGAAATCATTGTTGCAGACGAAGCATTTGACGTGTACTCGCGTGACGTCATGGAGTGCGTCAAAGCCCTTTATTCAGATCCGGATTTCTCGCAACACCTCAACTACACTCCCGAACGCCATTATGTCGATGCTGACAAAACAATCCGAATGTATCATGATATGCATACAGGAAAGTGGTGGTGGTCCACGCAGGCGAGTCTTTTGAAAAACGTTCTGATTCATATTGAACTTACCACAATATCATTTAGAAAGAACTCGAAGCAGAGAAACCTGGCGCAACAGTCATACCCATCATCCTTTCCTCCGACAAGACGCAGGTCACCATGTTTAGGAACAAATCTGCCTATCCTGTCTATATGACAATAGGCAACATTCCGAAGGAGATCCGTCGAAAGCCATCTCGACGGGCGTGGATTCTCCTGGCCTATCTACCAACCTCAAAACTCGAACATATCACAAACAAGGCTGCGAGGCGCCGAACGGCCACAAATTTATTTCATGCTTGTGTGCGTCACATTCTGGAGCCTCTGAGAGTCCCCGGCAAGGATGGTGTTGCTATGGCTAGTGGGGATGGAGTTGTGCGTCGAGGACATCCGATTGTCGCATGTTATTCCGCCGATTACCCGGAACAGTTGTTGACAACTGGGATAAAATCTGGAGAATGCCCAAAATGCGATGTCCCGCATGAGGAGTTGGGAAGTCCTGATGTTCCTGTCAAGCTGCGAGACCTCGAGGCAATTGTCGCTGCATTGTCGCTCGTTGATGAGGACTATGACTTGTGGAGACAAGCATGCCAGGAGCGCGGCATTAAGCCCATCTACAAACCATTCTGGCTGGATCTCCCGCATGCTAATATATTCCAATCCATCACGCCGGACGTGTTACATCAACTCTACCAGGGTATTGTAAAGCACCTCATCGAGTGGATCAAGGAGGCATATAGCGAAGCCGAAATTGATGCTCGTTGTCGTAGACTTCCCCCAAACCATAATATCCGATTGTTTCTCAAGGGTATCAGTAATCTCTCGCGTGTTAGTGGAACGGAGCACAATCAAATCTGTCGCTTCCTGCTCGGCATTGTCATTGGCATACGGTTGCCTGGAAATCTCAACAATGCTCGCCTTACTCGTGCTGTTCGTGCCATCCTTGATTTCCTGTACCTTGCGCAATACCCTTGTCATACGGACGAAACACTGGCACTTCTCGATGATGCCTTAACACGCTTTCACGACAATAAGGACATCTTCCTTGATCTTGGAATCCGCTCGAATTTCAACCTTCCGAAGCTTCACGGCTTCCGTCACTATGTACATATGATAAAAACGTATGGTACAACTGACAACTACAACACCGAGTACACAGAACGTTTACACATCGACCTCACGAAGGATGCCTATAGGGCTACCAACCATAAAGACGAGTACACTCAAATGACACTCTGGCTCGAAAGACGGGAGAAGATTCTATGGCACGACAACTTTGTCCAATGGCGTCTCGTTGGTGATATTGCCCCGCAAGAAATCATACCTCCAGACATGGATTATCGTCGCGCAATCAAGATGACTAAACACCCGACCATCAAGCGTGTCCAGTTGGACCGCATTGTGCGGGAGTATGGCGCCACATTTTTCACTGAAGCTTTGGCTCGTTACGTCGTCGGGAGAAATCAACCTGGTTTGTCTGCAGCACAACTCGAACGCGAGGCCGCTCACATCATTATTCCCTTTGATACTGTGGCTACGTTCCACAGGATCAAATTCAACTCAATCAATGCTCGGGGGATCCAGGACTCGAGTGTCACCGTGGATTCTGTCCATTGTCAACCATCACAAGAGGACAAGCGAGGGCATATGATCCCCGCGCGTTTTGACACAGTTTTGGTCAACGAAGGGGACGGCGGGACAACAGGCGTGGATGGTGCGTTTTGTATGGTGCATTGAACATGTTAGTCACTAATCTCACTCGATCACTGAAGGTTACCGTGTTGCGCAAGTCCGTGTCGTCTTTACGCTAACAAATCAAGCTTCGAATGTGTTATTCCGCGCTGGACCTGCACAACCACCCACCCACCTTGCCTATGTGGAATGGTTCACTCCATTCCAGCAACCGGAATCACACCATGGGTTGTACAAAGTTGCCCGCTTGATTCGTCATGGAGAACGTCTGGCAAGCATCATTGAGATATCAGATATCTGTAGGAGCATTCATCTTATACCTAATTTCGGCGTAGCGGCACCTCGTGAGTGGACGAGTAGCACTGTTCTGGAGTGCTGTTCCACCTTCTTTGTAAACCCCTTCAGTGACCGACATGCTTATTTAACACTTGTCTGAGCATTACAATGAAATTTGTTGAAATACCTTTGAATACAAATAATTTACCGAATTCTCAGTATTTTCATGCGAGTTTGTGAAATTACCTTGATTTTGTGAAGGAGGTTTTCCCTGATGAATGTGTTCGACGAAGCGATCGACACTGAATTTATGAGTCGCCTCAAATCAACCCACCATCTTACTCAAACGCATGATTTACGAAACGATGTCAATAATTTATGATTGCAATGTGAGAGACGACGGCTTCCAGACGACGAAAATGTGTTCGACGAAGCGATCGACACTGAATTTATGAGTCGCCTCAAATCAACCCACCATCTTACTCAAACGCATGATTTACGAAACGATGTCAATAATTTATGATTGCAATGCGAGAGACGACGGCTTCCAGACGACGAAAATGTGTTCGACGAAGCGAACGACGCTGAATTTATGAGTCACTTCAAATCAAAACACCTTCTTACTCAAACGCATGATTTGGGAGACGATATCAAGAAATTACAACCCATATGTAAAAGATGATGCTTTCGGCATCCGTGTGAAAATGCTATACCTTTGCGCAACAACCGAAATATGTTCACCAAGCGAGCAATGCTTGGTGAGTACCCTGCTTCAAGCTTCGATACAATATTCTGAGGGTGTGTAATGACTAGCCATGGTGTACTACTTGTGACACAGTCTCAAAAATTGTAGCTTGCCACGCATGCTGTATCATCATGATACAGTACGTTAGTTCAGAACTCCCCAGCGGAGGTATTATGGCTCACGCCAGTACTCCGCTTACCATTTGGCAGACGAGTTATATATTATGCCATACATCAATAGTATTGGGCGACTGTACACCCTGCGGGGGTATTGCTTATATGTGCCTGTGAGACCTCGGTAATTTAGCTTCTCAATCAAATGATAACGTCGACGTGGGGCAACATCGAGTATTTACACTGGCTTCTGGAAAGCGGAGGGACACACTGCGAAGAGTCTCAACGTGAACAGAATCAGCCAACTATGGCAATTATATTCAGTGGGGTTTCGAGTCAGATATGGCCTTCAATTAGTTTTATCCTGGAAATCCATCCAGTGATTGGCGTGGAGACCAAAAAATACAGAGGCCTCCGTGATTCGTGCTATATCCCTTGAACCCAGCTTGTTTAAAACAAGCGGACAGAACTAAGATCTGTAGCTTGAAGGATGACATTTGGAATTCATTCATAATTGTTGTAAATGCCAGCAAGTCCTCAGATATCCTTGTGTCGTGGCGGTGGTGTGATACATGACTATTGGCAAGTATATATTTCACACCAGATAGATATTATCAAGTCATGAGATTCACAACAAACTACGATAGTAACAGGGACACTTGAAAACAGGATAATAAATCAATGATAGATATTTATTCCGAGTCGAAGGCGGCGTCATCGATTCGTGCTCTCTGCCTTGCGAGAGCATTCACCGACATGTTGGCCCGTGCATCATCAGTAAGGTCATCACGGCGGCTCCTTCCGAAGACTTTTCTACACAACAGAGATCAGTTGGAGCGCATCAAAAGTGTATATACTCCACCTAGTCCACCATTCGAGGAGTCTGTTGACTCTGCGCTGCGCGTCTCGACCGGGGGGCCTTTCAAAAAAGTCCACGACGGTCTGCCAGAATTGCACGTAGTCGAAATCACCATCGACGGACCGCCATGATGTAACAGATGACAATGCAAATCGTACCTACCAGCAGTCATTTTCAGCTGGTGGACAGACCAAGTACTATCACTTACCTGACAGACGATGTATGCGATCGACCGAGGGGTAACCTTTTCCATTTTGATAATTTGTGCCACATGCTTCTTGACCTTGATTCCAGAAGAAGCCTTCCTGGCGCGTCTGTTGTTTTCGATGATGTCTGCGCCATCACCGTCGCCTTCAACGTCCTTTGCTGACGAGGGCGACGTAAAAACAGCTTTGTAGCTCTGAGAAGAAAACAGTAGGATCAGTGCCATCTGTGCTAGTCTGCTGCGACAAACCTGAAGCAAGATTTTGCCTTTAAAGAGACCTTCCTCCAAATTGTCCGAATTGGCGGTGTATTTTTCATACAAGTAGGCTGGAAAAGAAAGATCCGTCACAATATATCCCTGTGCGCGATCTCGAATCCCCGCCCTTACACTAATAAACAGTTATTATTGCTTGGAATCTCTAGTGCAATACTTACGTCGGGTCATTCCAATCCAGCTCAGCTGGACATAACAACTTGCCGCACCCATCATTGATGAATCCGCGGGTGTGTTTATCGTCCATGTCAACCGGGGGATCTGGCTTCAATTCGCGGTTGACCCATTCGGAAACGAGAGCCTTCAACTTGGAGGTATCGTCTCCTCGAGCGCTGTCAGCACCCTGTCTAAGCTAAACAGAGACTCAGCACGACAAAGCCAATCGTCGAGATAAGTAAAGCACACCATTTTCAACATACGCATATATTCATCGTAATCTATTTCTGAACTTTTCTTATAGAACCATGGCAAGGTGTTCATTAGGGTGATGTACCCTCCCTGCAGCCTGTCTTGCCTGTGTAAATAAATCTATGAGTGCGCTCATTGTAGCGAGACAGGAGGGGAAAGGCTTACTCGAGAGAAGTCTCCTCATCCTCGGCATCGTATCTCCTATCATTCTCGCTGACGAGATCCTCGATATTATCAAACAAAGCGACAGCTCGTCTGATGGCTCTTCCTTGAGCCATATAGTAGTTCACCTGCCTGGCGGATAGTGAGTAAAGCCAACTCAATGCACTGGTATGATGCACCAGTATCACATGACGTCCATACTTTTCTTTTACAGCACGCCCCGACTCGAGGGTCACCAGCTGGTTCTCCAGTTCGGCAATTCTTCGTCTCTGCCGAGCCTGCACCGATGCTAGCTGTGCTTGCGATGGTTCCGATGAAGGCTGCCGGAGGTCGTTGTCATGATACTGTCGGTCCTTGATATGCGACAGGCTGCCCTCAGTGTGCGACATCGAGACCGACTAGAGAAGGAAGAAGTGAGCAAATGTCTGGTTATATATGAGCAAGGAATAAGGAGAAGCCCGAGATGAGAAAAAGAAACTTAACTCTTTATATATTAGTCGACAGCTTAAATACAGTCAACAAAAATACCGGCGAGAACACGATTTGGAACTGCGAAAACGGTTGAGTAGCTCGGACGAGAGTCGCTTTGACACGCGTAGTAGGCAAACTACCGGAAAGAACCATTTAGTAGGCCAATAGGCTCCGTTAGTAATTCTGATTATGATGGCTGTGACCCAGGTCGAGTCAATTTGCGGCTACAACTATTAGTGTCATTATTCGCCAGCCTAATTGATAATCGGACTCACTAGAACTCCTCAGCGTCCGTTCAACCCCCTACCTAACCTAACTCGGAGTTGCGTCGATGCTAATGGTGAGGGGAGGTAAATTCCCTGATAGGCTGACGTACATTATAGTCGCCGTGATGGCCGGGATCATGGCAGCCTACTCCGTAGTACTAAGCGGTTCATTGAAGACTCGGATACTCGGATACTCGGAGGCTCTTAATTTAACGATCGCTTGCTGACGGTTACGACGGCTAAAAGAGACGGTGTTTAATTAGTGAAAGAGGTGCCATTCACGAAAACAAACCTTTGAGGTATGATAATAGACTAGTCGAGGGACATTTGACCGTACCGAGGTATGCAGGCTGGTGCAATAGCGCGAGGTTTCATTTAAGGTGTTTGCATATGCCACCAGTAGTGTTAGCGTCGACTAAGTTAGTTTTGAGAACATTTCATAAAAATTTTATACTAAGCCATTCTAGACCTACCGTATGTGTGTTAGCTCACCAAGCTGTCACTGATCGTTGTTCCCCGCACGACGATGACGACGCATGGATGTCGCGAACACCACTTTTCCACTGAATATGACGTGCAACCGCGTGTACTTAACGTTACGACGTCACCAGGCTCACGACAATAAGAGCGAGCGGGTTTTGTTCCACTCGTACTAGTAACTCTGCCAATGTTTCACAACAAACATCCTCCGAAGACTGTCGAAGCGGCACTTTTAGACAGGGTCTCGGAAAATCAGAGATCGGCCACTATGCAGAATGACGAACAGGAGGACAGTGAAAAGAAGGTGAGTGCAGAAGTTCAGTGTCTGTGTTACTTCGCAGCACTCACGTGATACTATTAGAAAGCTAAAGCTAATCGAGCCGGTGGCGTAGTACAAGCACAGGCTACCCGCAACACCCGCCGCAAGCGGAAGCGTGATGATGTCGACATCGACTTCGAGCATGACTCCAACAAGGAGAATCATATCTCTTCGTATCGTGCGCCCAAGCAGCCGTTTCCGCCTGGTGCTCCCACTAAGCGCATCTGTCGCGAGAAAACGGGCACCGAATGGCAGTCAGTCCTTGATATTACCAAATACGGAGAGGAGGTACGTGGTGGCGTCCACATAAATACCGATCTTTGTCGATGATTTGTTCCAGCTTCTGCTCTCGAACCAGAAATAGTGCAACTGAATAACCCCAACAATAAGGAGCGCAATGATATCCGTCGATGATTTTAGCTGATGGCCGGTGTGACCAGAGATTCTTACCAAATGGGGTTTTCCAGTCATCCGAAGCGATTTCTGCTTGACCAAGTACGAATATAGTCAAAAGTAACCTAACTGTGACAAGCAAAGCATCGATCCAGTGGACACGTTTGACAAATTTTGAGGAGGGAAACTCAGCATCGAATGAAATAAGACCGGAAACTCCAATGAGAGTCTTGCTACAGCCATATAGAGTACCAACGCGGCGTCCTGGGTGACAGTGAGAAATTCAGCATGTATCAGTAACCATGACACACGAGGTGAGCTCAGTCAGGACAGCGCTAATAATCATGCCAAATGCGCCACCCACAGGAGCACCCGCTGCAAAGGTAGAAAATGATATTGAACGTGTTCTTGACGGCGGGGACACATGCGCTAGGATACCAAACTAAGTAAGCGAGTGAGTGCTTTTGTATCAAAAGCCTCTCAGAATAACTTACTGAAGGTGGTATTGTAGCGGCGCCTCCAATGCCTTGGAAGCTACGCAATACGGCGAGAGTAATACCATCTGTGATCACATTGTGAGTGGACAGAGCACGCGAACGATCTGAAATGCACGCCAACTGTGACCTTGTGCAATGCCGCCACAACAAGGAAACCCGACAAAGAATACCAACCATAAATGCCCTTCGTCCATAAACGATGATCTGCCTAAGTACAAGAGAAGGCAACCCTAACACAAGGTGAGCCGCCATGTCAACATAGACAAATAGAAGTGGCAACGCACAGAGCTGAAAGACTAAGCGAATGCGAACCACTGATGCTGCTCTTCTTCGATAGCTAGTAGATCCTTCTCAATTGTAAGAAGTGAGATAGAGACAGAGGTGGTATTAGATCAAAATACGCACTGATACTCGACAGCTACCCAGCACAGCTCTTACAACAAGACCAGCGCTATAAATGGTGATGATGAACAGTTTGCGACTATTCGTCATCTGGGTGCAGCATCAGCTCCGGGCGTACTTTCTCATCAAACTCTTCGGGTGTCAGGAATTGGAGTGCAACCGTCGCCTCCTTCAGCGTTGTTCCTTCTCTGTGTGCTTTCTTTGCGGCCTTGGCTAATCTGCAAAGTATGATTGACTTCGAGCAGATTTGCACACTTATAATTAGCACGTACTATCATAGCCAAGGTGGCTGTTCAGGATTGTTGCCAGCATCAAACTCTTGTTCAGGAGATGGTTGATGCGCTTCTTGTTAGCTCGGATGCCAACCACGCAATTCTTTGTGAATGAACGGGAAGCTGACAAGTCCAAATAAGCGGGCCAATAAGTGTAGTCTGAGTTATGAGCCCCTACCATCAGAAAGAGAATGAATGCTCTGCAACACATTCATGATTATGACGGGTTTGAAGACATTGAGCTAAAACAAATCATTAAATGTCAATGCGTCGTATGAATAATGGATACCTCGAAGTGTCCGTTGGAATTAGCGATGCTGACAGTGGTCTGGTTGCCCATCACTTGAGCAGTGACCATAGTCATGGCCTCGCACTGCGTGGGATTGACTTTACCGGGCATGATACTGCTGCCAGGTTCGTTCTCGGGGAGCATCAGTTCGCGGAAACCACGGCGAGGACCAGAGCCAAGGAATCGAATGTCATTAGCGATCTTCATCAGAGAGCAAGCGATGACATTCAGAGCACCATGAGCCTCGGCAAGGGCGTCGTGGCAAGCTAGAGCCTCAAACTGAGGGTTTTGATCAGAAGTCAGACAAAGCACAAACTGCGAGATGTCTTGCCTTGTTTGGTGCGGTCTGGAATTTCAAGCCCGTAATGTTGGAGATCTCGGCTGCAACCCTCACATCAAAATCCTTCTTGGTGTTAAGACCCTGCACGACACCTTAGCGCCTATATTCGTTGGATGTTAGATGACCTCACCGTGCCAACAGCAGTTCCACCTTGAGCCAGAAAACGTAAGCGAGGGAGGACGTCCTTAGCACGAGCGATGCCATTATCGATTTGCTGGACATATCCGCTGAACTCTTGGCCAAAGGTCAGGGGGGTAGCGTCCTGATGACGATAAGACGGCGTTCAAATTTAAGGCCGACCTTTTCATAGAATCATACCTGCAAGTGCGTGCGTCCAATTTTGATAATGTGGCTGAATGATTGAACCTTTTCGTCAAGTGCATCCCTGAGTCCTGTCAATGCCGGAAGCAACGAGTGGCTGATTTCAGTCACGGCGGCGACATGCATAGCTGTTGGGAAGCTACGGTTACCAGTAAATTCGTTGAATTAAGCAGTCCTCGTGCGGAAACTCACGTGTCGTTACTACTCTGGCTCATGTTGACATGGTCATTGGGATGGACCGGATTCTTGGAACCGAGTTCGCCGCCAAGAAGTTCTATCGCACGATTCGAAATCACCTGTTAACAAATGAGGTAAAGCTGCTGAGCGCTCGAGAGTTTGATATGCTCACCTCGTTTACGTTCATGTTGGTTTGAGTTCCACTTCCAGTCTGGAAGACAACCAAGGGGAAGTGGTCCATGAGCTTACCGGAAATGACCTGAAGAAAAGCTTAATTCAAAACACACATCCGAAGCCCAGGACGCAATCTCTCACATCATCAGCTGCTCTCTGGATGGCTTCGCCTATTTTAGGATCTAGGCCATAGCTAGCGTTAACGATGGATGCTGCATTTTTCACCACGCCAAAGGCCTTGATTAGGGGAGGCGGTAGCCATTGTGAGGGACCACCAATATCAAAGTTTTGTAGCGACCTGGGAGAAAGATTCAGTGATTAAGTATGTACATCAGATCAAATATGCACACCGTTGTGTCTGTGCTCCCCAATAGCGATCGGCTGGGACCTGGAGCTCGCCGAAGGTGTCACGCTCAGTGCGGAAGGACTGGTTTGACTGATATAGATATAGTGATCACCTCTGCTGAGTGCGAGAAACTAACTTACCATGACGAGACGTAAGGCGTAGTTGGAGGAGTCCCTGTTAGCCTGTTACATAAGTGATAGGCGGAAGCAGTTCGACCCGGTGGTGAGACTATATGCGCTATAAATGAGTAGTTTCGATCAAAAGAGCAGTGCTACTCACTCTTGATAGCCACAGGTTTCACAGCGATCTAGTTGCAATATTAAGGGCTCGTAAAAGCCCTTGCAAAGGTGATAGCTGTTAGGTACAATCTAGGTCTCGGCTGACACGTGAATATCTTCCGGCTCGAGAACACCCTACAAATCAGTAGGCGTAGACGACGCAAGACTAGATTGAGAGAACCAACTTTAGATTAATATTACGCTGCTAAATCAGCACCTACAGAGGGCATGAAATGGCTGAAGAGCATCCTAATCCATAAAGCTATAAAGTCCAAAGTATGCCGCTTGGAAAGCCATCTGCAAGAACGCATTGGGGCTGAAACCATGACTCGTGATAAATTCTTTCTGTAGCTTGAATTCGAGTGTCGATAATCCGCTGGCAGCGGATGGAACAAATGTTCGTTCACAGGTCAAACATATCGCACGAACACAAAAGAAATACTGAATAAACAGAAACTCACCTTGCGCATCAGTCACGCACGCTAAACTCTTTGGCGTGAAATTCAAACTGCTCTCTCGTCTGCACAGGCTCCGTGATTCTGATCAAAAGAGGTTCTACCATATCGGTTGAGAAATAAGATCTACAAGAGAGTCATCAGCATCAAGAAAATCGGATGAAGATCCGTACTTTCTCCGAACTTCCAGTGCAGCGGAGTGATGGTCGTCGCCTGGTCATGAAACGTAACATGACTCAAGTCGGACTTTTCCGTGTCTAATGCGGCAATGGATGGCCCTGCGGGCATATGCCTCGTTTCTTGCAACGATCTTTACTCTTCACAAACTACCATTCATGTAAGCGCAATGAGTCACTTTGTTAAATTCAAATATCACTGAGATAGTAACTGCTACATCATGAGTCATCATCATCATCAACTCTTGCACGCACTGCGGCAGGCGTCCCATCACTAACTTGAAAATATGAATGAACGCCTTTAATCATCCATTTCCTGTCAGGCACCATACAATCATCATTGGTAGAACGAAGACTAAGGTTTGCTTTTCAGCCGATGTGTCAGAGGAAGTCGATGATTTTGCTCACCTCAAGAGGTTACTAGTACGCGTTGGATTGTACATCCGACTCACTCCAAAAGGTGCCTTGGGGGTCTTCCGATGATTCACTCCAGAAGGAGCCTTGGGGGGTTTCTGACGACAAGTCATGCATTGAATTCGCTGAGAAATGTGGATAGGATTGCTGTGCGAATTGCGTGTGCATGTCCGACTGCACATACGCCGAGCACTCCACTCCTGAGTAAAGCGCCTGCCCTGACTGGTGGACGGCGGAAGCTGAGTCAGAGTCCTGTACATAATGAGCGGTTGACGACCACGTTGCGAAAGGGCTTGTTTGCTGGAATTGCGGTGAGATATGGAAGGGCAGGGCAATGTTATGCGAGGCAGTATTGTGAGATGTAGTGGTGTTTGCTGCCGCAGATGGTTGTGTCAGTTCATCCGGTGACGTAGGAAGGTAGATTAAAGCCGGTGATGTGAGACCCAATTTGTCTGACAAGAGTCGCCTGCCAAAAACATGAGTGTGGAACCGTCAGACTGTTAAGACCAACTCACATTCCCTTGTCGTGTAGATATTGGAAATATAACGTCATTGGCTCACGATGAAGGTTGGAATTAAAGGCGGCTTCCATAGACAGGTTTAGGGTGCGGTACTTGTCAGCATACTGATCACCCTTAAACTTTATGACATCTCCGGACATCGAAAGACGGCCTTCAGCATATCGATCGACGAAGCACATGACCTAAAACATTGTGCGGTACTATTAGCACATGAAAATTAGGCTACGAGTCTCTTACCGAAACCCCTGACATCGCTAACATAGGGCACGTCGTCGTCGTGAGCATTTCCCTCATGTCGTCATCGAATAGAGGCGAGTTCTCATTTAGATACCAATATTGGTGATGTGCGGCTTCCAAGCCATCGTGAGAAAACAGAACGAGTCGGCCATTTTTGTGACCATGCAAAAAATATGTGTGCTGCTCGCTCGAGTTGTAGATCACTGCTCTACGCTCCATCATATATTGTATGCGTCCCTTAGCGGACAGTTTCTCTTGCGGCTCGAGGGAGTCATGGTAAAAAGGTGTGCACACTGACTCTGTGCTCTCGATAAGCTTCGAGCGACAGGACGGTAAGGCCTGGATGACGAGGGTCGTGACGGAGGACGTGATCTCTAACCCTGGCCGTAAATCAGCACGTGGCACGGTAAGCTTCACGGTCACTGTAGCACGTACCAGGGTGATCAAGCGATACTTTCGCTTCATTGACTATCTCTCTAGCGTAACGGTGCATGCTTTGTCTTTGTTTCCTCATCGTATTTATGCACCAACCTCTCGTCATGATCATGTCCATGACCGCTCTCCTACGCGCGAACTCGATTACTTCTACATCTTCTGATGGGTAGTCGGTTAGTCTCAGAGGGTCGGGTCGCCCCGAATGCGTCGTAGTTTCCGACTGGCAAATAGCGCTCTCTAAATCGTCTGGCATTAGCACAGCACTCCAGGAAGTGGGTGGGGCGGTTGATGTTGTCAGGTTAGTCAGTCGCGAGTCGTGGTAAGGATGCAAACGTTGTGTGTTGCTCCATTGTGCGGTGCGGTGCCTGCCAGTCATATCATTGACTCTGCGTTGATAGGACATAGTGCCAGTAGTAGACTCAACTGCACGAGATTGCTGCATGTTCGTGATAGAGGCAATGTAATTAGAGCAAGTCGATTAAGTCGGAGCAGTTTTTTTCAAATTCAATTCAGGAAGGATTGGCCTGCTGGAGTTGCTCAGGCTAGCCTGAGCGTAAAACCCATCAAAAGGATTGGACACCTGGATACTGTATAAACTTACTAATCATTAGGGGTATTTCGATCTTCTGGTAAGTACGAGGCAGCATTAGCCACCGCAGCCGTCCACTCGGATAACCTCGTGCCACGATGAGTTCGTAATAAGGCTGCATGATTGACTCATCATGCGAGTGGGTTGTGGGGTGGCTCCTGATGGTTTAAAGTTCAATCGTCGTAGGGATCGAGGGTGTATGGTGACTATAGCTTACGGTTCGGTTTGCGGCCTGCCGTGATTCCTTAGTCGGATCATACTACTAAGATTCGATTTCGGTTAGCACAGCAGCGTGTCGGAGAATAGAAGAGGATCGCGTAACCTATCGGCCACCATAAGACCCATACAGCTGAGCCGTCACTGGGTTAGTATAAACTCCGTCAGAAAGGAGCTATCATATGATAGTCAGGCATTAGTACTAGTAAGGGAGATTGGTATAGAGTTACCTTGCTGTTGGCTACTCGGACTAGGGCGAAAGTCTTCTGACACGAGGCATTGATCGCCGCCGCCGTCGGTGATAACCTTGTGCACATATAATCGTAATACAGTTGCATAGACTTTGGGGTGACTACCTGATGATTTTAAGTTCAATAGGGAAGGGATCAAGGTTTGTCACAGTCACTTGAATTGCGAAGCCTCAACTTACTCATCGGCACAACCCGGGTACCTGCTAACCTTTAAACTCCACGCTTCGCCTGCCAACAGGGCCTGACATGGGTAGAGGGTGTGGTGTGGTGTATGAACGAGGCCGAATTCGCGGCGCTTTGAAGGCTCATCGGCACAACCCGGGTACCTGCTAAACCTCAAACTCCACGCTTCGCCTGCCAGGCCTGGGTGAGCCAATGTATGAACGAGGCTTATCATCTTCAATAATCATTTTATATGCCCATTTTATTTCGCACTCAACATACTGAATCTGTATCGAGTACGGAGTTTGAAGAGAGCTGTCGAAATGTCAACTGGGTGAGATCAGTACGAGTGCTCAACGTCGCAAGCACCGTACTAACTGGTGCCAACATGGACCAGCAAGAAAGCGCACAAATACTTCAAGTTAGTGAGCACATGAAAAGAAACAAGGGAAACGAGCTCGTGAGGATGCTGGCAGCCTTGACTATGATCGAGACAATGTCATAGAGCTCAATAGTAGTTTTATTCCGTATCATTTACTAACCCGGGACGGGTGGCCTCCATTTTAGTACAATTGACCCGCACGTAGCACCCGTACACATGATGTTACAACTGGGGTGGTGATGTGCACCATCACGATAGCCACTGTCCTTGCCAAAAAAACAAAAGTACTAGATACATGTACACACTATGAACAAACTGCCATCAGAGAAATTAAATAATAACACAGACACCATAGACCAAATTATTCATCCAGTTCTGAACAGCTTTCATCAGATCCAGAAGTAAGTATGCGTACCGATTCATTGTCGGAGGAACGACTGGCGCGCCAAGGCTTACGGTCATCATCATCACCAGGATCAAATTCGTGCCCTCTATCCCCTATCGTCACCATCCCCCCGTCACGAAGCATGTTTCGGATCGATCCGATCTGGAGATCAATGTCCTTCAACTCCGTCTGTGTGAGCTCGGTCTCATCTTCATGTATAGACATAATGAGTTGTAGTTCGTGAGCGCGAATGCGTTGATATCTGAGGCGAGTAGCAAGAGCCCGGCGAGTGATGCGGGAAAGCTCGAGCATGCGCTCATTGAGGTAATTCAGGCTGTCAGTACCTGGAGCACCGTGACAGTGTTGACTCCACTTTGAAATATGAGTATTGGACTTCAGTTTGTCATCTAAGTTGTGACTTACGGTTGTTTTTAACGATCTCGCTTTCTTCGAGGGCAAGCCAACTTCCTCACCACCTTCATGTAAGGTGTACTGGAGATGAGAGCGCTTCAACTTGTGCCGACCATAACGACCAGAATCAATACTTTGCACCGTCGCTCTGGAACTACCCTCATCAACGGGAGCAGCATCAGACTTGGTCTTGGTGTCCAAGCCAAAGTCCTTCATAGGAGAGCTATCAGGTGCCACTGACTCGGATGTGGGCGGTGTGGATGGTGGACTGCTCCTGGATCGTCTGGATTACTGATAATGTAAATGAACTTCGAGGCAAACAAGTTGAATAGACAGACCGAGGCTGGTTCGTCTTTGAAAAAATGCTGCTGGTCGACTCCGAAGAGCCACTCATCCTCAATTCTGGCAGCACAGGTCGCTAATATCGATAATCCAAGACTCAAGAGTTCTTACTAATATGGTGACGTGTAATCAGTAGTTATTCGACTCTCACGTTAGTGAGAGACTCTGGGTTTTGTCGGACACAAATGGCTAATTCTCACCCGCGGGAATAAAACTATGGTGGATCTTTAGTGACGGTTCGATTTGCCGTCATGCCGCATACATTTTTCATAGTCCGCTGTATTTATTATTCAGAGCACACCTAACAATAATATTAAATCATGCCAGCATGTCACAGCAGGATGGTCGATGCTGCAGCATGTTGCCAAAACATTCATGCTTGCTATGAGCAACAGTGAGCTCCACTACTGCAGCATTTAATCACTTCATGTCCAGTATATACAATGCTGGTCTCGAATCTGTCCAATGGCAATAGGGCTGGCCACCGTAACCGTATACGGTTATGGCCGTACAATTTATGGCGGGCTTATGGGTACTACCCGTACCGTACCGTCTGTCGTACAATACATTCAAAATGTTCGACGGTATGGTACGGGTCATCATACGGTCATACAACCGGCTATATGGTCGTACAGGAGATGAAAAAACGTTGAGTTAGTAAATTACAATAGTACTAACTGTGTAGCACAACATATATATGAATTAGCATGTTCGACTTCTGGCCTTGATGATTTCGACACTAGACGGGGACTGAGGTATGCCATATCGACGAATGAGAAAGAAAAACACAGTACAGTGACATGGAACACACCTGTCTACCGGCTTCACAGGCATTCGCTGATCCAAAAGCTTACCACTTTTCTCAAAGACAAAATGACTGTGTTTCGTCTTATTTCCATCACCAGCCTCAAGAATGCCTATCAACGACCTCTTTGGATCAGAAATGAGTGGGAATGGGAGTTGTTTCTGAAGTGACGGTCATCAAATTGTTGTTCGCACTAAATCGCACATTGAAATTATGCATGGTGATGTACCTTCATTTGCCATTTACTTTGAGCAGCTGAGGAGTCAGCACTGACTCCATAGATATCATAATCAAGCAAGGCAAATTCTTGCTATATATCATGGACCTCTTCTTCATCATCTGACTTAATGAGCTGCAGCTTGGCCAATTAGATAGAGAAAATACAAATTGAGAAACAGCCAACTTGTAAATAGTGCTTGGGTGCTTTTCAGCGGTAATCAGTGCCGTCTTCCATTGTTGATTTTAGTGAGTTGAGGGTGCCAAAATCGAGTGACAATTCATAGTAGAACTTGTTGTTGTCCTCGGCGAAGGTAGTGTTGCGTATGCTATTGGTGGCGAAAGTAAGTTTGTGGTGGTGGGGGCTTAGGTGCGCTGTGAGACGTGAGAAGGAGAGTCTAGAATCGTTAGAATGAGAAGCATTGTCGCCAGTATCGAAATAAGACATGAGGCTACCAGTAACAGATCTAAGTAGAACTGTATGTCCCATATGACAGTACATATGGCCGTAAACTTACGGTGTCATACGGTACTCGAATGACCGTACACCGTAACCGTCAATGAGAGCTCTAAAGCCTCGATGGTATGGGTACAGCACCCGTATTATGTCACCGTACATCCCCGTAATACGGCCTACGGTGGCCAGCCCTAAATGGCAATGAACATGTCCATTGGCATTCCTCTCTATGCAGCTCATTCTTCTCGAGTCTTGAATGGAGGCAGAGGTGGGCCACCCGATCACTCCGAGTCTAACTAACATTGCACTGTATATTCACGTAGTATAGGTAGTAGTACCACAAGCATCAGGAAATTGTGCGATACCTACGTGGACCTATGTAGCCTACATAGATTGTATATGTTGTTAGGTAAATACCCACTATGTAGCTACTCCATAGGCACACTTGTACACTGTATGACCTATGTAGGCACCGTATTTAGCATACATACACCAAATACACAGGACTAGATAGGCTGGGTAGCGCTCGTATCACGCATTGTGTCGCAAAATAGAATGACATGGGCACCAATATCATTGCATTCAAACACTGTAACAAGTTGCAGTAGCTAATACTCGTCGTCCGACTCAACACGCCCATCCCATTCTGCCGCTGCCGCTGTGAATTCGTCAGTCGAGAAGTTCTCTGACGTGCCACCCACTCTAATTGGATCCTCGGGAACATTTGCATGGTGCCTGTGTCAATCTATCAGCAGGAATAACGAATATCAAGCTTGTTGGATCACATACTGAGCATGTTTTAGAAGCCTCTTGCAAATCTTGGGCAAAATGTCAAAGTCAACCAGCATTTTGTAGTAAGTCTTGAAGATGGCAGCATAGCGCTCCTTGTAGAAGCATGATTCAATCTTGGTGCTGGTGGTCCACTCCACCACACAAGCCTCAATCTATGATAGCCAATTAATCATGAGATCAAGCCTAGTCACTGAACACTCACCCCAGTAAGGACTGCCACAATGATACCCAAGCTCGCCCCACCAGTAGTAGTGTCCTTGAAGTAGCTTGTCAGCATGGCACCCAACGAGTTCTTCCTATCATAGCACCATTTGGTGATGCCCTTGGGGATGATGTCCACTTCAAATAGACCTTTGCCTGCTTTGCAGTTCTGTTAGTTCATGGTCAGTTCACACCACCGCACACAAAGAATGTATGTGTATGGTCACCTTGCATGTGAAAAGCTTGCAGTTTCCAAGGAGAGTAGATGTGAGCTCTGCATTAAATCTGATGGCCTCTGGAGTTTTGTCGTTTTTGAAACCAAACTCTGTCTCAACCAGTGGGCGCAGAGCAGTCTTGAGGTCGCTGCGTAAATTAGAGCCATGTTCTGTGATCTATACATATACAGAAGAGTTTTCATTGGAGCGAGTCATAGCAATCAGAACAAAAAACTTACCAATTTATAAGCATCCTCATCATAATCAATCCGAACACCTTGAGAACAACAAGCTGCCGCCCATGCTTGGCCCGACCATTTGCATGCCTCTATGTCATTAGGATAAATCATTGTATTGGCGAGGATTGATTGATAATGTCCAACTGCAAGATGGATCATTAATGCATAGAGCTTGTTGAAGTCAGCTGATCGCACATGCCCCCGAGTACCACCCTCACCCATCTTGACTTTTTTGACGAGTTGGAGTCCCTCAATGGTAGTGAGCTATTACCATGATCTGTGGGGACAGGACCACCCTGGACTTTCTTCTTGTGGCCACGAGCAGACATCAAAGTCAAGAAATGACTGCGATCACAAGAAAAAAAACAGATCAGTTGGATAATCCATTCACGGGAGGATACAGGACAGGTCCAAACCTTAATCTGACATAACAGAGAGAGACAAGTCGACCCCTGGTGTCCTCGGAAAGGAATGGGAGCCTTTTTGGCAAGGATCAAAAGAGCCAATGATCAATATGGTGGGCAGGGAAGAGACAAGATTGAAAGAGCAAATGATGGAAGAGACAAGATTGAAAGGGCAAATGATGGAAGAGACAAGATTGAAAGAGCAAATGATCATGGGCGGGAAAGAGACAAGATCGAAAGAGCAAATGATCAATATGGTGGGCGAGGAACAGCCAAGATCGAAAGAGCCAATGATCAATATGGTGGGCAGGGCCGGGATTGAGACTGTGGGTGGACCCGGGGAAGAGACAAGATCGAGAGAGCAAATGACCAATATAGTAGTTGGTGGGATTGCAAAAATTTGCACAATTGTCAGTATTGGCCAGCTTCAGACCGAGAGGCACTTACTTCAACATGCCTACATGCAAATATTGTGGCCAATGGGTCCTGACCACGTCTGGACTTAACAAGTACATTACAAGGTCCCCAAGTTGTCGGACAAAGTGGCTCGAACGACTCCAAAATTTCAGTGTGAATGTATTTGATCTTGATGGGGGGTTTGTGGAACCCCAGCCGGATGATAGCAGTGATGACGGAGGTACCTGGCAATGCACATTGGATTGATTCCTACCCTGCGGAGGCTTCAGCAGGTGTGCCTTCAATGGATGAGGAGAATGTACCTACCAAGTTCCATGGGATCCAAGCAGAATTAGAAACCGGCCATGATGGGATGTGGGCCCATTTCAGGATGAAGATGAGTGGGAGCTTGGAAAGTGGCTGATACAGAACATGAGGCAGACTCAAACCAACAAGTTTCTAACACTGCCAATTGTGAGTGGTGTTCATTGATGGTGTTTGCGTGACTGAAAGGAATTCCTTACCAAGATCAAGGACCGGACAAGACCCTCATATACATCCAACAAGTCCTTCTTGAAGAAGATTGATCGGCTTTCCACAAAAGGCCCTGACTGGCATTGTGACCTCATCAAGGTCGCAGGAGATGTGCTTGATGGCGATGGGGAAATGTTGACAATGGACTTGGAGCTATGGCGCCGCGATCCTGTGGAATGCATTCACGAACTCATCGGGAATCCTGCCTTCAAGGATGTGATGGCCTTTGCACCCGAATGAGCCTATGAAGATGGCCAGGGCAAGGTTCATATATACAATGAGATGTGGACTTGTGATTTGTGGTGGGACATGCAGGTGAGTCTCAAATTATATTTGATGCCAAGCTTACTACTAATCAATGGCTATTCTACAGGGCAAACTACCACCAGGTGCCACGATAGCACCTGTCATTCTTGCATCTGACAAGATGAGTCTGCCTCAGTTTCATGGAGACAAATCAGCATGGCCTGTCTATCTCACCATCGGCAACATTGAGAAGTCGACTCATCAAAAACCATGAATGCACACCACTATCTTAGTCGGTTACTTGCCTGTTGCCAAGCTGGACTGCTTTAGCAAAGGCACTCGGTCAGTTGCAGGTTACTGACTGTTTCATGAGTGCATGCGCTGTCTGTTGGAACCGTTGATTGCTGCTGGACATGTGGGAGTTGACATGGTCTGTGCTGATGGCAGAGTGCACCGAGTGCATCCTATCCTAGTGGCTTATGTTGCAGATCACCCTGAGCAGTGCCTTGTGGCATGCATGAAAAAGAGTTTTTGCCCCAAGTGCCGTGTTCATCGTGACAATCGAGGCGAACCTCTTGACTCCCTTCTACGTGACCCAGACTGGATGATGACTATACTAGAGCACAAGCGTTCTGGCCGGAGAGTAGCAGCTTATACTCGAGAAGGCCTGCATCCTGTTTATCATCCATTCTGGGCAGATCTTCCTCATGCCAACATCTTCGCTAGTGTGATGCTGGACATTTTACATCAACTCCATAAAGGAGTCTTCCATGACCATCTTCTCAAGTGGTGTACTGATATTGCAGGGGAAGCGCAGATTGACGAACGATATCGCACAATGACCAACTACCCCGGTCTTCGCTATTTCTCCAAAGGGATTTCGCTCATGTCTTAGTGGACAGGAACAGAGCACCGTGAAATGCAGCAAGTCTTTCTTGGTGTCCTTGCAGGCGCAGTTTAACCTTCGGTATTTCATGCAGCGCGTGCAGTGCTTGATTTCATATTCTATGCTCAGTTTCATTCTCACACCTCTCAGACTCTAGATGCGCTCCAAAATGCGCTGGACAAGTTCCATGCACATAAGCACATTTTCAAGGATCTCGGAGTGCGCGATGATTTCAATATTCCAAAGCTCCATTCCATGTTACATTATGTCGACTCCATCAAGTCACGCGGTTCTGCAGATGGGTTCAACACTAAGTTCCCAGAATGTTTGCATATTGATTTTGCCAAAAATGCATACCATGCGACAAACAAGCGAGACTATGTAGTGCAGATGACTAAATGGTTGATGAGGCAGAAGATGGTTGACCAGTTCTCCACTTACCTTGACTGGCATTTGGAGAGATTCGAGGAGCTGCAAACTGGTGGAGACGAGGAAGACGAAGATAGCGAGAACGATGGCCCAAATGATGAAACTACCAGTATTCAGCCTGCGAATGATGACTTGCAGCCCAGCAACCAGGCCATCAGTGCACAGCCGCCAACACACATCCTATCCACTCATCCTTCGTTCAAGGCATTGACCATTACTGCAATTACGCTGATGATTCTGTGTGCTGCAAGTTGTACTTCTAAGAGCTGTGCTTCTGAGCCTCTTCGCAATGTCTCGCTTCTGCATCCCAACGCTCTGCGACAAGTCTACACATGTAATTCTGTGAGACAGTGAGAGGGGCCAGTGTTTGGCGGTGAGGATGGACAGGTGTGGTTGGAACTAGAGAAGTCGAAGTTTCATGGTAGGGGGGTACAGGTATCTGAGGAATCACGGTGGCAGCAGAAATGTTGGTGAAATTGAGTGGAGGATGGCCTGAGGAGGTGTTTCACAGGAGGTTCTGGACTGCCTCCAAGGGAATCTGCCTGTTGAGTTCTCGTTTGGGCCTGCAAGAAGGTTAGCAGCAACACCATAGTACTAAAATGACATACCTTTTGATATGTGACTCTTTGACACGGTCCAGAGACTGGTAACGAACACTACAAAATTAAGGTCAGAAGCTGGTGAGACGTGGCCAGCATGATGACAGTGCTCACCACTTGGCAGTGTTTTGTGGTGAGTTATTTTCTTGGTCCAAGTCCAAATACTTCAGCTTTTGAGTACCGAAAGCTGGTTTGTGAGTGTCATGGCACGCATGCATGAGGCTTACCTTGCAAAAACCATTGAATGGGTGGCGTGGACAAGAGCTCAAAGGATTAAGATTGAGATTGAAAAAAAACATGGCAGTGCGTAATTTATCTTGTTGAATTATTTCGCTTTCATTGGCATATATGAGGACTACATGTCCTACGAGGTGTATATAGGATTGCATGGTCTACATAGGTGGCTGTGGGTAGCACGTGCCTACATAAATTTGGCATTTTCCTGATGGAGTACTTGCCCAGAAGATGTGTGGCTAAAGCTCACTGTCTGGACTCTGCGGATGCGAAACTAGATGAGATAATAGAGCAGCATCTACTGTAATAAATGCAATTATGATCAAGAAATAGTATACTAACTACACATCATGCCATTCCTCCATTGAATAAGAGAAGACTGAAGCTGCACACGCCGGGCCAATGATCCTTGCTACTGCAAGAGCCACCAGGGTGATCCCATTGGTTGCCATGAGCAAGGCACAATTGGGAGCAGCAGCTCTGATAAACAATGCCAAGCACGCTACAAATTCATGGGTTCTTAGCATCACACTCACCTCTTTAAGATCACCTTCTTGATGCTCTCATTTGTTCTCTGTAATCTGACATGGAAGGTCTCACATTTTGCTTGTTCAACTCTCAATCTTTATCTCTCAGTCATGCTCACCTTCTCAACACTCTTATTCATGCTCTGCAATCCGACATGGAAGACCTCACATTTTGCTCATTCAACTCTCAATCCTTATCTCTCAGTCATGCTCACCTTCTCAATACTCTCATTCATTCTCCACAATCCAACATGGAAGGCCTCGATTTCACTCATTCAACTCTCAATCCTTATCTCTCAGTCATGCTCACCTTCTTGGCCACTGTCACAAAACATACTGAGGGCTATCCTATTCTTGTACTGGATACTGAAGAGCTGGACTAAAGGCCCATGAAATGTGAGAGACTGGCCTGCAATATTACACTGACTACTTGTGCTGACTTCATATCATGTTGTAAGGTCAGGCTATGCCTTCATTACATGGCCAGAACATAAGCACATTTCAAGGTGCATCACAGTATTGTTTTTCTTGATGCCGGCACATCACTGCGGCCTGAGGAATGATGAGAATCAGTGTATGTATTATCACAAAGATATCTTTGGCTGCTGTAGCAGATAGCTCAGCGATGTACGAAGTCAAGTAGTTATATTGGTATACCTGTAGCAGATAGCTACACATGTTGTTAGTTAAGTAGATACTAAATACTATGATGGTACTAACCTCAGCAGCATATGAAGTCAACTGAGGGTAGTATGAGGCATGGGAACAAACAAGAATATATAGGTACGAGGTAAACTATCAGTACCGAGTGTCCAAGCGAAGTCTGAGGGCAGAGGCAAAGTGTTTAACCTTTAAACTAGGAAGAGCTTTTGTAAGTGTATCAGCAATCATGTCGTCCATAGGACAATAAACAATCAAAATAGAACTTTTGTCCATGCAAAAAGTATGAAATGGTACCATATATCAATATGCTTAGTCCAAGCTTGAAACACTCCGGACTGAGCAAGTGCAATGGCGGACTGATTGTTGCAATGCAAGGTGGTGGAGTAGGTAAGCAAGCAAAAGACTCCACTAATGAAATGACAAAGCCAGATGGCTTTTTTCACAGCATGTGTTGCTGCAACATATTCTGCCTCGGTCATGGAAAGAGTTACCAGCTCTTGTTTCTTCGAGCCCCAAGACACTGCCCTGCCATCTAACAAGAATGTGTAACTGGACACTGCATGTCAATGTTCTTGTGATGCGCCGTCGGTGTCAGTGAAACCTTCCAGCCCTTGTCTGCAACCACTGAAGGTAAGCGCAAGTGTCTTGGTGCCGATGAGGTATCAATATATCTTCTTAACGGTGTCCCAGTGGGCCATGCCAGGATTTGCTCTGAACTGGGTGATGGTGAAGGTGATGTCAGGACGTGTCCTGACAGTGAGATGCATGAGCAAGCCAACAGCTTCGTGATAGGGCATGTTCTTCATTTGTGCGGATTCGATTGGGGTTTTGGGAGACTGTGAATGTGAGAGTGGGAGGTTGGGGTCCATTGGAATGAAACATGACTTCAAATCTATGAAGTTGTATTTAGTGAGTATGGCTTCAATGTAGGTCTCATGTGAGAACGAGATGGTGCATGCAACATGGTTGCGCATCACCTTCATGCCAAGGAGAGATGCTATGGGGCCAAGGTTGACTCTGCGCACGTCATCCCTAAGCTCTTCATCAACTAACACAACTCTTAATACCACTTCAACGCTCCTTGTTTCGATCTGTAAAGTGCGATGCGCAACAGCATGACGGGGCGCTTGAACTTCTTGTTGATGTTTAGACCAGGTGGGAGCTCCATATAGATAATCTCATTTTCATCGAGCTTACCATTGAGAAAAGCACTATGAAAGTTGAAAACATCAATATTCCAGTCGTTTCGTGCAATGATTGTGAGGATGGTGCAGAGAGATGTGAGTTGTGTGACAGGTGTGTATGTGTCATAGTAGTCTATGCCATATACCTGGGAATAACCTTGAGCCATGAGCTGAGCTTTGTACTTGTCAATTTCCCCATCCGTGTTCTGTTTGATCCAGAACACCCATTTGCACCCTACTATATTGGCACCTTCTGGCCTCTCAACGATGGACCATGTCCGTGCATCTTCTAGAGAGGTGAGCTCTTTTTTTTGGTTCCAATTTTTGTCCATTTGGGGTACAATACCATATGTAGGACATTACTAACTAGGAAAGGGGGACACCTGTGTCCCCCACCGCGTCTCCTACTCTGCAAATGCCCTGATGGAGGGTTGACCTCCGACAGTCCGCCGTTCCCGCCAGCCATTTTAGATGCATGAGTCTGCTACTCCACGGGCCGAATTTGGTACAGTTCATGTGTCTTTAGGCCTGTCATGTGATAAGGGATATACATGTACTCGGATCGCCGAAGCGTTCTTTGCACGAGGGGAGTGAATGGAGTGCGGAAGAAAAGTAAGTGGTAAGTTGGGACCAGCGCGGCTTGCTGCTGAGAGTGCCTTCTGTACCGTGTATCTCTGCAAAGGTGCTCTGTTCCCGGCTACTTCTTACAACTCTTTCCATCTGATCTTCGAGTGGGCCCTGGATGGCGCCTGTTGCCCTGCATTTTGCAAGTGTGATAAATATATTTGTTACAATACAAATGTGCAATGCGTTGAAGTTCTGTGCTATAGGTTTTTTCATGAACTGATATTAGCGAGTCTTAGGGGGAACGTCACCGAAGGTAGGTTTCAATCTTCCAGTACTGTTGATAAAACGAATGAGGGGTGCTAAGGCTTTAGCATTGGTTAACAAATAGGTGATGGATGAAGCCCGTCGTTTGAGGGTGGAGGTTAGGACATGGCATTCGCGGGCATATTGTGGGCAGGCAAAGAGGTAGTGTTGTACAGTTTCGAGGGTGTCGTTGCAGTGAGGGCAATTGGGAGAGGCGCTTTTCCCTATGTGGTGCAAGTGTTGATTGAGCGAAATGTGGCGGGTGCGGAGCCATAAAATGAGACTTATGTGGCGTTTTGGCAGGTGTTTAATGAGGGAGATGAAGGATTTACTTGTGGCATTGAGGTGGGGGTCTACCAGGATGGTGCGTGCGTATCTTGGGGATTTCTGCCAGAATCTGTCCCATCTTTCTGACGACTCGAACTTCTGCGCCTGTTTCAGTGCGGATAAGCTGCTGGGGAGAACTCGCTTTCACAGGTATGGCGGTAGATGGTGAGTGGGAC